TAAAAAAAAAAAAATTCATGTCCCGTTCATCCAGAAGAATCACTTGGCACAGTTTTATCTGTTCATAGTTGTGTTTATCTAGAACTAGAATCTGGCGCGCGCCATTTGCAATAATCATGATTCTTATTTTTTCTTTTGATTCAAGTTATCGTGAAAGGCAAATGCATAGAAAAAAAAGAAAAAAAACGGCATAAGAAACCAAATACAGCGCGCATTTAACATAGCTGCTGTTACTAAATTTCTTTTTCTTTAATCAAAAATCTTCTTTGTTTATTGATCAATATAGATTGTTAATTTTTATATTTCTTAGGATGCCGTTTTGTGTGCGTGCTGTGTTTGGCAATGCCAAATTTATTTGATCGTTTTCGTTTGACTGGTTTTTGCAATATTAAAAAATATATTTAAGTAGGTGGACGACTTCGTGGAATGATCCGATATACGGGCATATATTATCGATTTAAAGTATGCTCTCCTAGTTATAAAAGAAAGAAAATACAGTTATTTGGAACTGATTCTCTTACAGTTCCAAAACTACCCTTTTTCTCAATTAAATGTGAGTTTGCCCTTTATTAGGTTAATCCATTATATCATTTAAGCGCGTTTATTTAACACAGAAACAACTGAAATTAATTTCAAATTAAAAACTGACCTGGTTTTTAATCTTCTTTTGAGAACTACTGTCACACAAAGACAAGTATATTTACCAATCTGGGTAAATTTAAACGAGTAGAAAGAAAAAGGAGAACACTTTTTATCGTTTGGACACTTCGGTGAAAGGTTAGTGAATGATAACTTCTATCCACGATATCAACTTTCTTATCAAACGCAACACTAGTTATTGCCATCAATTCAGTAAGGCAAAGATTGGGTAGAAGTTGAATTTCATAATGCTTTTGAGATGCCATGGAGATATTTAAGGGTGTTTGTAATTCTAAACTAAAATCTGAACAATTATCTTAATAGTGCTGTTGGTTAGGAGTCTTACTGAAGCAGCTAAGACACAGCGGATAGCATGTACCTACGTAATGACAGTGGGAATTAGATAAACCCAATGTGGTTATCTCACGGTCTCCTCTACCTTCGAAACGGTCAGGACTAGTTGCGAGTTTCTGTGTACCAAGCTTTACGACCAAAAATGCTATATTGATTATTGAAAGGAATATTGTAGCGTTTTTCCGGTTAAATCGTGATTTTATTCTTCTTTGCATAAAATGTCTTGTATTTACCATAAAGTAGCTTTATATTTTCTTGATGGCCAAAGGAAAATCTTAAAGAAAACCAACATACTAACAACAAAAATCATACAGACGACCGTCAGAAAAGCCATTTACTCGCTTAAATCGATAATTATGTCATAAGAGGGAAATAGGAGACAGAGAACTGTATATCAGAGTAGCACTATGATAAATACGAGTTGTGCTGGCGGTTCGTATGCTTAATAAAACAGACCAATTGAAAGTGGATGCTACGGAATCAGCTGTTTTGGAAAAGAAAAGTCCAGTCTCAGAAACACAAAGTTTAATTTAGATAAAAGCGATTTATCAAGCTTTTTTTACAGTTTTGTGATTAAAGCAATGCTTCGCCCATTCCATCTTTTTTTGGTGGCTGCTAACCTCTTTGACCTAAATAACGAAAAAGGAAAAAGAAAAACACAACTACTATTGCAAAGGTGGGGGAAATTCTTTCAACTAGGAGTAAAAACTTATTTCAAAACTAGAGTTTATTGTTACTGAAAACTGTGGCATCAAGGACAGGTGTATTGAAATTAAGATATGGCTATTACCTGAGAAGTGTTATGACATTGTTCAAATCTAATGTTGATAGGTTGTATTCTCACAAAGTTTTTAATTGGAAATCGTGAAAAGGTACTTGAGTATATTTAATCTATTCCCATCTGATCCCCTTGTTGTTTGGCAAATTTATTAATTTCTTTGCTGTTGTTAAAACGAGCTCGATTTTAAGGACATTTTTGAGAAAGCCAATATTTAATTAAAACGGTATCATATATATCACTGCCCTGCTCGAATCAGTTCACTTTTTTTACTGCCTTGCAGGAGTGGCCAAGCTTGGGTATGGAAATAATAATCATCAAATGGATAACGTTATTTATGTTTATATGGTAAGTTAAAAAGGAAAAAGTACAAAAATAATAAAAACCGTATTCTACACAGTTCTTAATGTTGATAAATCATGACTTTTTTTATCTTTCAGGACTTGGAGACATTCACAAGGTGTGTTTAGTTATCTATTAAAACAACGTAAGCAATTCAGCTGCGAGAAATTGAAACGACGTTTAGCTTAACGGACGCGTTTGTCTCCAACTGATACCAGCTATCCTACTGAAAATCGTTACAGTAACTGTATAGAAATCTCAACCGATTGGATTAGAGCGCAGACTTTATATCATTCACAAACAAAGGGGGCTAGGGAAAGGTAGGAAAAGGACTAAATTCTGAAAGGATTGGACACTTTCTCTCCAGAAATAGTCTGTTAAAAGCTCAGAAAGTCTACTATACTCAATCCCTAAATTTAATAGCTTTCTTGTAGACTGTAAAGAAATGGTCGTTGTTAAAGGCAAGATTATATTACTGGTTATGTTGACATTAACAAAGGGGTATAGGGCACGGTCTTTGGGCCATTTTTATTTATTTTTATTTGCTTTCTAGAGCTGCTAGCCGACTGAATTTTTTGAGATTATGTTCGTGTTATGGACATACAAATGATCGCCCCCCTCCGGGGGTTACTTGGGTTAATTTGTGCTGGGTATGTGCCGCTGGCCTCTCAGAACCCATACCACATAACAGTCTATTCTGTGGCCAAGTATAGACTCTATCTTAGTCACTTTTTAAAAAAACGTAATTTTCGCGATCACGTGAGCTAAGTAACTTTCTGTATATCCATCTACTTTATAAAGCCTTTTTAATTAGGTCATCCTGAAATGAATTGAAACATTGGTTAAACTTAATGAAGTAAAAATCTTCCCATTTTAAAATCCCTATCTCCCTGAATTTTCTCCCCCAAATCCCGAAATGTGCGATCCCATCTAGCAGGCTCCTCCCCATTAGCCTGTTACTAGGAAGTTTCCCCACAGAGATCAACCCGACTTGAAACTCTTCCAATCCTTGATTTGTCATTACCAGTTCCGCATGGACTAGCGGTCTGAGGCTCTGCCTTCTAAAGGCAGATAGTTATATCGGATTGACGTCCCCAGTCCGTGTTCCTTGCATTTTGGCTATAAAAATAACATCGTTTAAATATCTAATGTAATGAAGAATAAGGATTGATCCACCGTTAACTGTTAACCATGACTAGAGATACTGGCCATGTACAGTGTGTATTATATGACTTGGTTCCATAAACGTAATAGAGTGGAGATAGAAGCCATGACTTGGTACTCCCTCGAGTTAAAACTGAACGGGTTGAAATGGACTTTTGTATACAGGTGTCTGTTTAGATTTTTTCTTGATTTATTTAACTTATTTGTTTTCCTATCATCATTATTGAATCCAATCAAATAGCAACAGAACCCAGGGGGTATTTCCTAAGGCCTATATGGGGAGCCTCCGCCCGAATGTGGTATAGGGAGTATATGGAAGGGTAGGGAAATCTGTCATTTAGTTAGGAAAAAAGGCTCAAAAAGGCTAACAGACGGATTGTTTGGCTGAGAAAAAGTCAAGTAAACTGTCTGGTTTTGTCATTTATCATATTTTAAAGACAGTGCATTTGCAGCAAGTGAAAGGGACGCAAAGTTCTAAACTAGGTATGTGAAAAGGCTACCATTTGTTCAATAGAAGATACACGAAGGGGGTACAGAGCAACAGAGTTTGTATCTAACTGGTGTTAATGTAACTTCGTATAATCTTCAGGACATGATGATTGTCAAAGGTACCAGGTGCTCAATGATAGAACAAGAGCTGCAAGCTTAAACAGGGGTGCTGTCTTGAAATGTGATCAGAAGGACATTCCCCATAGCAGATGGTACCGCTTTATGGGAGCCTCAGGCACGGAAATGCCAACTAAGTGCGTGCCCCAGCAGCGCTGCGGAACACACGCGCCAGGCTGGCTAAGCACTCCCCACCCCACCAGGGTTGGACAGATTGTCAACGGGAAAGTTTGCTTTCATTGGTCTGGAAAGTGTTGTCATTGGTCTGCAAATATCCAAATAAAGATGTGTAACGGGTACTATATCTACAAGCTAGGAAAAACGCCAGTTTGTCATCTTCGTTATTGTGGAAATGCAGGCTTTGGTAAGCTACTTAGCCTTTTCCCTCTTCAGTATTTAGTACTTGGTGATGTTAGTTACGTCCCCTTACCAAAAACGGTCCCACCATGTTAACGTGGTCAGTCATCTTCTTAGTTACTTTTAACATGTTGATCTGGTCCAGGGAATGAAACCTTCGACCTAAACCTCTGCAGACCAGCGCTCAACCTTATTTTCGACACCATTCGCACTTCTACATTTGATTTAAATCTACAGGGAGCTTTAGCAGCGAAGACGAAAACGTCACTATTATTATTATTTTTTTACGTTTGTTTCAAAGTTTGCCGCGATTATTCAGCTCAGTTTAAATGACGCCGGCAGGAATTCCCAGGACTTGACTTGTGGACCGAGCCTAAATTTAGAAGGAGAAAGAAAATATCTTCGTGGTGTGTTTTTCTGTCCTCTATAAAACATCCCATGCGGGAATTTCTCAGTCGTTTTAGTCGTGCAGTAACAGCAAAAAATGTAAAAAAAGTGTGCTGCATGTGCAGAATTGGTTTTTTACTCATTAAACCTATGCGCTTTTGACGTTCCCGTTGCCGTCGCGGTCGAAGCGCCAGGTTTATTTGAATAAAAGCATTTTGAAAGATTTCCAAAGCTAATGCAAAGATTAAAGGTTTCCCTACAATTTCCTCCAATGAGTGCGTTACATCTTGGTCAGTATATCTTTAAACTATCAAGGCTGTTTTTTATACTTTTAAACCAGAAAGAGTGTTAAACAAGTATTGTTTCTTTAAAGGCGACGACGGATGCACGAATTATCAACAACTAAACGACAGAACTCGGGCTGCAAGCATTCACCGTGGCAACACCCTTAGATGCGATCAGAAGGATCTGGCAACTAAATGGTACAGATTTACCGGTGCATCTGGAACTATGATGCCCACTTCGTGTGTTCCAAAACATTACTGTGGAACACATGCACCTGGGTGGTTGAGCGGTGCGCATCCAACAGGAGTTGGACAAACTGTTAGCAGCAAAGTTTGTTTTCACTGGGGAGGAAGCTGTTGTCACTGGCATACTTATGTTAAAATAAAGAAATGCAATGGTTTTTACGTCTATAAGCTTGGAAAGACTCCTCACTGTTGGCTTCGATATTGCGGCAATGCAGGATTCGGTGAGCTTTTATATTTTTGGGGGGCAAGGAAGTAATGTTTAATTCTTTCGTGCTAATGTGTTCTTCGGAAAGATAATGTTTGTTGTCTTTGCTTTTTGTTTGTCCATGCAAAGGTAACGAAATACTATAGTTCACAGCCTTTCTCCAACTTTAACCATTATTCTTTATAAGCTAAAGCGTTTGGCAATTAAGCTACATTTATTGTGTATATTTCTTTCATATCGCCCACGTCCCCCATATCATACAAAATGTTTTGTCACTCTCCCTTTCGGCCAGAACAAGAGAAGATGAAATTATATTCCCTGTTCTAATCAATTAAAGCCAAATTATCAGCTACAGCTACATCATTTATGCACTGGTTTAACACAAGAGAGGATTATCCTCTCTTGTTTAACATTCACATTGGTAAGATAATAATAATAATAATAATAATAATAATAATAATAACAATAATAAAGATGTATTTTGTGTCGAAATGGTATGACGAATGCAGAATGTGAACTTTTTTTTCCAAAGCTTCAAAGTGGGCGTAAGTGGTATTTAGATGATAATGAATGGTAATGGTGATGAAAAGGATAAAAACTAGGATGATGGTTGTAATGAGAATGAAGACAAGTCATAATGTTAGCAACGGGACGTAATGAAGTTGGTGTTGATGAATATTTTAACTGTCATTCGGTAAAGGTAGTTTGGGAAGATGGTGTAGATTGAACTGGGTACTTTACAAGCTAAAGGACATTAATTGATTTTATATTACCTTGAACAAATAGTAATATAATATTTAAATAACTTTGAACTTGGAAATAAGGGAATTTAGGGGATCTATTTTGATAAGCTATCACATGCAGTAGTATTTAAAACTACTGCTGCCTTCAGAAAATTCTAATACTCTCCTTAGAAAATGTCAAGATCCCCCTCATAATCCTCTGCCCCCCTCTTCCTCTACATAATGAATGAAGCCTTTCGCAAAATCTCATGCCCCAGTTGTTCAAAAGGTGGATAGCACTATGCCCCGTTTAATTCTACATCCAGTGTATACTGCGTAAATTGGTTTCTCTAATATTTATTCAGTGGATAGTGCTTTATCAGGTAGATAGCGCAAGTCAGCTTTTGAACCACTGGGGCCAGGCAGTTGACGTAAAATATAACAAAACGAAAATACAGTAACCACAAATAAATGCTTTCCTCTAAAATAGGGCTCAATTAATAGAAACACAATGTTATTGTTTATTTACAAAAAAAAAAAAAAGAAACCAGTTAAGTCACGTTTTACTATGACTTTTACTGTGCCAGATATTTGTAAAGTGAACAAACCTTGCAAAAATGGTGCCACGTGCATCCCTACCCAAGATGGTTATACGTGCCGCTGTATGTCAGGCTACCAAGGAAAGAACTGCGACCAAGGTAGGGGCTTTGAGGTGCAAAAGTTTTGTTACCATCAAAACTTCATACACCATGAAAAGAACTGAAATGCAATTGATCCTCGGCAACTGAAAGGGTTATGTTAGGAAAAGTACGATGGATGCATCTTCTTTGATTTTAAAGAGATCGAAGAACTTCAATAGCATCGGTATATTATTGTTGGTTTTCGGTTTCACGCCATTGAAAGTAGATCAAAATAAAAATCAAAACCTTTCAATTGATAAAGTCCAGAATCTGGGAAATGAAAGGAGGTACATATACAAAGACCCTCGCCAAGATTCAGGTCAGAGGAACATTTCGTATACGAGATATCGGAAGAAATGTTTTACCCAAACTTATAGAGATTTGTATGGAGACGCCATGCTGGTGCTCACCTGGATGAACACCAACGTGTCGGGCGGAAACCAACAGAAACATCTGTTACCGAGTTTTGCTACAAAAGAGTGAATTTATTCTTCGAGAAACTCATAAACATCAAAGTAATACTTTTTCTAATACACGAACTGAGCAAAATTTCCTGAAATAAGTCATTTTTTTAACCTACATGACAACTCTCGTAGCCGTCATAAATGCCGCGTCACGCAAAAGCTTAGAAATTCAAGGGTACTCTATCACAAAACCAAGAAGCCTTTTGAAGCGAAAATTTGTTTGAAAATTAGTTTTCAGCTAATGCGTCGTGAAAGTAAAATCTGGGTAGGATCGATAGTTTTTTAGTTCGAATTTTAGTGACGTCATGTGAAAACCAACAATACCTTTGTTTATATGGTTGATAGGCTACCAAGAAAAAGGAGCCTTTAAATCTTTCAATTTCATTTGATATTTTGATTTGGCAACATACATGTAAGTAAGTAAGTAAAAAGTAAGTAAAACTTTATTTACACAGGGTAGCCCATTCAGCTCTAAGGCTGGTCTCCATAGGGGCCCTGTATCTTAAAAATTAAATTACATCAACAATTTTCATGAACTATTACATTTAAAAAGCCTAATAAAAATACTATAATAGAATTTAAGAACTACATTAAAAGGCAAATTTAAGATGTAAATGTATGGCATCAAATCGCTGCAACTAAAAAAAGGGCTGATTTGAATCTGCTTAAGTGAGACAACGGGTTAAGAATGTTTAAGAGAACGCAGTCAACAATAAAAGCGATAAAATTTAGAAGTGAAGTGTTTCAGATAACAAAATTGTGTTTGTCAAGATGTAAATGAATGTATCAGAAGACCTTGTCGCAATGGTGGAACGTGTGAGAATCTTCCAGGAAGTTACAGATGCAAATGCAGGCCAGGTTATGTTGGAAGACACTGTGAAACTTGTGAGTATCTTAGCAAAGAATCCTCCCTTGTATTGGCATTCAATACAGAAAGTCAAGAATCTGGGAAATGAAATAGATAGCTTAAATATGCCAAAAGCCTCGCCAAAAATCATGTATGTGCGATATTTCATACGCGAGATAAGCGGGAAAATGTTTTAACCAAATTTATAAAGCTTTGTATGGAGACGTTATGTTAATATCCCTTTGAGGGGCATTAATATGGCGGCCTGGAACCGACAGAAACATCTGTTTTTGAGTTTTGTTGTATGTTAAAAACGGGACTTTACAGTTTGAGAAGAAACCTTAAAGATTAAATTTAGTATTTACTCTGAGACATGGAATGTTTAGATCGCAAAATCTCGAAAAACGGTAACGTTTATAACCTACATGAGAGCTTACCCGGCTGTCTTCTAAATGCCGAACCCTTTCGAACCAAAAATATGTATAAATAAGGGTGTTTAGCTGCTGAATTCCTGATCCCTTGTTTTTAGATCTAATTTTTGAATGTATTTTTATATAAATAAGGATCTAACCAAAGATAACTGTGTTGTGGAAGATACGATTAAGATTTCCTTTTAAAAGAGAAGGGAAGTTACTTTTAGATAACTAATCTTAACATCCTGGCCCCAGTTATTCCAAGGGTAGATAGATATATCTGTGTCCAGACCGTAACTCAATTGGTTTTCTTAATACTTATCCACTGGATAGGGATTTAATAGCGGAGCTCTGGCGCGCGAAGCGCGCCTGCGGAGCACCATGGGTAAGTAAATCTACCTATCCCAGAAAATTTGGTAATCACGTGACCGTACACCGCCCGCCCGCCCGCCCGCTGCCCGTCCGTCCGCACCACAGGCAAACCAATGTTTAATCCCACACTTTCTAGCATGGATAATCCATGTTTCTAGCTAGTTTGGGAGCATAGGAAGACTGATATTGCACACATATTGCACATCAATGTTGTGATCAATTGACAGCTGTCAAAACAGGGTCCCGCTGACCAGTATCACCTGACCGTATCGCGGGCTCACAATGTGCCGCACAATTAAAATTTTGATTTCAAACTGACCTCGGAAGCCAAGATTCAGCCAGTTTTTACAGGCAGGGAAGACATGCCAGCTGCTTTTCACTTTCCTCACCAAGGTCACGCGTTGATCAAGCTCTACCTCCAGTTTTTATGCTCTGATTGGTCAAAATTTGACAGGTGAGTTCATGCGGAAAATTTATGCAGCATCTTGAAACTTGTTTACTTTGACAGCTGAAGCTGATAGAGTTTTTTGTCAACTTGTGATGTTTTGATCTGTCTTTTTCCACTGTACATTGTACAAAATAAAATTCAGCTGCTATCAAGAATCTTCTGTTATTCATGGCTAGTTTGTTTATCGGGTTTTTGGTTGAGAAATACGTCGCTTGTCAAAGTCGGAAATCCGATTTCGGATGGCATCGTTTTCGTTTTCACCTTGCTTGATGCGTAAGAGGGTTGAAAACTCTGAAGCGATTTTGGCCTTACTTGATCGTTTTCAGTGCATCTTGAATGGTAAGCCTGAGTAATTATTTTATTTGATGTTTGTTTTTTATATCTAATTCAATGAAGTCGAGTGTAGTTTATAAGGCTGTTTAGTTTATGCACGTTTGTAAGATTTGAGACAATGATCTGACCGAGTATCAGGTTTGACTATAAGCTTATAGAACTTTAGAAAGCCTTCAGACATCTTCTCACCGAAAATAGAGAGAAAACGTTCCTAAGAATATTTAGTTATAATTCTGGCTGTAAAAGAAAGCTTCGAGCGATTTTCGGGCCTCGAGTTCATCTTTGAAAAACGCAAACACCGGGAAGCCGGCTTAAAACATAAACAAGGATTTTCAGGGACCCGTTAATACTTGTCTTCGTGAATGAAAATTGTTGTCTCTGTATATGTTTCACCGAATTGTTTTCCTTTTATTGATTGTTCGTAGTCTCTTTTGCACTTTTCATCGCTGTTGTGCCGTTTGTTTTCAGTCGCTCATGAACATACAACCCTGGTCAAAACTCTTGGGACACTTACGCAATAGCTTGTCAAATTGAGGCATCTTCCCTCCCCCCTTCCCCCTCGGTGCAATGTTGGCGTTATGCATTGAAGTTTTAATTCAACACAATCAACACTGCTTGGGGGAGAGGGGGAGAGCACAAATAGCCCCTTATAACAACATCTCCAAGCCTTTTTAAGAGGTAGAATACGAGTTAATTTAGCAAAGTGCGTCTTTGTGCCTAATTTCCTCAAGTGTCCCAAGACGTTTTGACCAGGGTTGTCTGAAAATGGGTTTACAATAAAAATACAGACTTATACTATTTTCCGTGTTCTCAAATTGTTCCTTTTTTCATATAACTGCCCAAAAGTTCCATGTCTGTACTTTATGCTTAAATTATGCGTTATTTTGGAAGTTTTTATAACTGCAGCAGTAGTATACGCGAATGTGTGAGATGGTTTGTGGGTCTATTTGTGGGGAAAAGTACGAAAAAGTGTTTTCATGTTATTTACGTTGTTTTACAGTGAACTCCGACTTGAAAAGATAGTGCTACAATTTAGTAAAAGAAGTTGATTTTAGTTGTTATCGCCTTATTTAAGCTGATTAGGGCAGGTCACATGACCAAACGGGACGCTCGGAATGGTCACACGATCTATTCAAAAATTCAAATGCAAACGATCGTTTTTCTTAGGGGTGCTAGCAGTTTAGTAATTTCGGTAGAGTAACGACTTGCTCATCAATTGAGTTTAGAGGTAGAATCCTTGGAAAATTCAAGGCAAAGAATGGTACATGTCATAACGTATAGTCGTTGGTCATGGGCGCTACCGTTGAGATACTGACACATTTCTCAGTAACATTTCTCACTAAAGAAAAGTGATTTTCAAACGTATTATGTGAAATTCGTACCGCGATCATGGCCAAAATATAGTCAGTGTGATCCCATTTCCTCTAAACGGGCATTTTTTTCGAGCTTTCCAGGAAATATGTACAAATTTCAACATTTCTCACCTCAGAATTAACAAAAAAGGAATGAATTTTAATTAATCTTTTACCTCATTTAGGTGAGAAATGTTTAAAAAGCCCCATAACTTGCTTATTGTGCACAAGAAACGAAGGGAAAATAAACTTAAGATAATGATAAGTTTTACCAAGAGTGTATTTTAAAGAATAGAGCTCCCTATAAGTTGCATTTCATACAAGACGGCCCATAAAACAAGTGAGAAATGATGCGAGAACTGTTCAGAGCAACTGTCACGCAATTCCTTGTTTCCTAAAAGTAACTGACAGAAGAATTCTACCGACATAAAAGTTTCTTTAGGGCTAGGAAGTAGCCCTTCAGGCAAAGTAACAACTGATAAAGTCATGGGGAATACAATAAAAAGTGAGGACTTCTGTAGCAGTGCACTCTAAGTTAATATTTTGTTCGGTGACCTCCAGACACAAGTACAGTTTCAATTCAGTGAGTCACACTTGAAATGAGAATATCGATATTCTCTGGATAGAAAATAATCAATCATCAAACACTCCGAAACTTATGCATTAAGCTGTTCAAATGAATCCTTTGTAAAAATCTGTGTTACAGCCTCTTCATCTAAGTAACATTTGATCTGGTTATCTAAATTTTCTATGCAAATAATGGACGCATATCAGTCTCAGTATATCCTTTTGGGCCTTCTTCGCACTCTTGCTTGTCTGGGTCGTTGTCCATTAAAAAGAGTCTTCTTGCGTTTCTTTTCGGCCTTGCCTGACCAAATGCTGTATTAAAATGGTTCCTTATTTAACTGAGCGAAGAAATTGGCGTTCATTTTCTCATAAGGTACAGTTAGTGTTACCCCTTTTCTACAAGCGATGGCGTCAGCCAAGTCCTTAGAGCCTTCATTAATATCATTTAATGAAAACGAAAGACCTTCTCCCTTCTGTCGCCATATCAGTGATTTTTTTTTACGTTTCGTTGTATTTGTGGACGAAGGACACGGCATGTAAATTAAAGGCCACCTCGTTTCATTCGTCCAAAGCAGAGGATTTTTCGCAACTGGACGTTTCAGGTTTTTGCGGAATCGTACACGCAACTTGCGATTGTTTTCACTTAGAAGCCCATTTTTCTCTGCTTGTAAATATGCGTAACCATTTTCATTTAGATAATGTGGAAATGTTTTGTACTTGCCATTTCAAACCTAAGCCCACTCTGCTCCACGATGATTTTTTCCTGTAATGTTTTCACAGTTTCTTGCCCTTGAGTACGTTGAGGATACTTAATAAGCATGCATTTGAAACCGTTCATCTATTCGCCTCCGCTCTCGGAATAAATAATACTAACAAGGTAACACCTGGTAACTTTTTTAACATTGCTATACCTACAAATCCACAACTTTTCTCTAAGTTTCGTAATGTTTAAAACTCGTTTTCCTATAGAAGGGGTTTTCAGACAACCCTGGTCAAAACTCTTGGGACACTTACGCAATAGCTTGTCAAATTGAGGCATCTTCCCTCCCCCCTTCCCCCTCGGTGCAATGTTGGCGTTATGCATTGAAGTTTTAATTCAACACAATCAACACTGCTTGGGGGAGAGGGGGAGAGCACAAATAGCCCCTTATAACAACATCTCCAAGCCTTTTTAAGAGGTAGAATACGAGTTAATTTAGCAAAGTGCGTCTTTGTGCCTAATTTCCTCAAGTGTCCCAAGACGTTTTGACCAGGGTTGTAGCTTGCAGGAGTAGTCAAAATGCCGCGCGTATGAAACACTTTTGAAGATTACACATCGTTATAAAGCCATTATGTTGAAACGTATAACTGTGTTAATCTTAATTTAAACAGTCGACTTTGGCGCTTGTCAAAAGTGAGAACCGGCTTGCCGTATAGGTGATTTTGGAAATTTTTTTAACGGTTTCGCTAACGCGTGCTTCGATCGTCCTGAATATTGAATGAGTGCAATTTGTATTGCAAAATTGTGAAATACTGCATTCTGTCCGAGGTCTGTATGATAAAAACAGCGCCTCATGGTACTATTTCACCTCAGATGTGATGTATACAAAGGTATAAAAGGTTGGCTTACACGTCCCAGTCTTGTTGGCAAGATTTTGTAAAGTAAACTTATCGAACGCAAAAAATTCGGCCTGATTTTTTTTCCTAATGTACTGTGATCAAGAACCATTATGGCTATGCTATTTTTTAGGTGTACGTATAAGGCTATCAAGTCGATGTAAGATTAATTTCACCCTTAGCTTGGACTGTTTGCAAATTATTTTTCTCTAAAATTACTTAGCCTTTCCGTCAAAAGTCACATGGATGTGCTCTAAAGTTAACTGATTTGTGGAATACAAGTTTACAATTGTTTGATTTAAATTATAAGTTCGAGTTAGTAGGAGCTTCGCTTTTAGCCCTGGCTAAATCTATATATTATCAAGTGGATAGTGCTATCCACCTTTCGTCCAACTGGTCCCTGATATATTTTTTTACTCATTTTATAATTCAATTTCCAGTATCAGATCCGTGTTCACACCATGTCCAGCTAAATGACAGAACAAGAGCTGCAGGGGTTCACAGGGGCAATGTTCTTAAGTGTGACCAAAAAGATATGCCGGACACTAAATGGTACAGGTTTATCGGTTCATCTGGAACTATGATGCCGACCTCCTGCGTTCCCAAGCATTACTGCGGCACGCACGCACCTGGATGGCTCAATGGGGCTCATCCCACAAGACTTGGACAAATTGTTAACGGCCAAGTGTGTTTTCACTGGGGAGGAAGCTGCTGCAACTGGAAAGCAAACATTCAGATAAAGAAGTGTAACGGATTTTATGTATATAAGCTCGGAAAGACTCCTGTGTGCTGGCTTCGGTATTGTGGCAATGCGGGATTCGGTGAGTTGTAGAATAGTGCCCTAATGCCTAGGTTTTCGGTAAACTGCCACTTTTCCGGCTCATAAAAGTCGCCTCTTTTCACTTTTATTTTTAAAGTAAAGAAAATTTGGCAAAACTATCGTGTAAATTTGCATTGGAGCTATATTAAATTGCAAAATTTAATTTCAGGATGAAGCAGGAGCCTCCTGGATGAAGCTGTAACTTGTAAAAATCGCCACTGATGGAAATTTGAATTAAGAGGAATCAGGAGCCCGGAATCTGATGCCGTTCAGATCACGCTCAGTAGTCTTGCCAAGTTTTCCTACAACTGATTGTACTTCACTGACAGAAAAATAGTTATAAACGATTATTGTTTTGGTTCGAGAGGGTTGGATGAGCGTTGGAAGGAAGATCCTCCCGATAAGATAATAAAAAAGTTCGGCGCATACGATCACGGGACAATATCAGCCCGTCATTTCCTTGTTATTGACCGATAGGTGTAACATACCTGAAAACGCTTAAATAAAATTAATTAGTGCTCAAACAACTGAAGCCTGCACCTTTATGTGTAATTTTGTAGGCCACCCCTGTCTGGGTTGTCTGTCAAAGCGCCGGTGTCTTTTCATTAATATTGTCGGGGACGATTCAAATAGAATAAGGAGGGTTGCAGCGAAGTGCATAACTGTTGGATCTTTTTTATTTGTTAGATATATGCAGAGTAAGCAATCCCTGCAAAAATGGCGCCACATGTACGTCAACGAATAATGGTTATACTTGCCGCTGTAAGCAAGGTTATCACGGAAGAAACTGCGAACATGGTAAGCCCCTCAGTTATTGCAAGCTTAATAATCACACGTCAATTCAACACGAGAAAAAATTAAACATGCTGGCGCGCTAAAATATGCTATAAGCTAGAATTCCAAGACGGCCTGTGTGGCAAAGAATATCATTTTTTAAAGCAACTGGTAAAATGGTTGACCAAGCGTGATGTCAATATGGCTGGATATTAGCCAATAATTTTTTAGCGTTTTATGGACCGAGACGAAGTCGAGGTCAATATATACGCAAAAAAGAACGAAGCGAGTATCCAGCCATCTTCAACGAACGAAAAGGTTGGTCACTGAAAACTTCTTCTTGTGGAACTTAACAAAGAACATCCCTAGCACGCAAAACAGGCCCATCTTCTCTGCTCGGGTAGCAAATCAGAACACAGGATGCACTTCGTCTTGCCCGCTAACTAAGCCGGCCATAAAATATGAGGATTACTCCCCCAGTATTTTTTTAATTGTGTGTTTTATAATTAGAATACACGTTATTTTTGATGCAACATCGCTAGGAAATCCAAAGCGTTTATTAAAAGTACATCCATCGATTCAAAAACTTGAATTCGGGAACGGCCATTGAAAGGCATTCAAAACTGACTTGCTTTTCTTCTAGATGTGAACGAATGTAATTCTAGACCTTGTCGCAATGGTGGAACGTGTGAGAATCTTCCAGGAAGCTACAGATGCAAATGCAGAACAGGATTCCTTGGTCAACACTGTGAAATCGGTAAATAATTTGAACGTTATCCTGGTGTTGGGTTTTTCAGTAGCAAGTCTAGATCGCGTAAAATTTAGCTTCTATTAGTGATTTTAAAGTTTTTTGTTTTTTGTTGTCATAGTGACGTCGATTTTACTTAAAAGTGTATTTCAACAAACTTCAATCCAAAGTCAGTTAGAAGTAAAAATTTGATAGAGATCGGAAAAGGATAAACTCACATTTTAGGCGATTGAAAAATATCGGTATCGAAACGCGTTTAATTCTGTTATCCTAAAGGAGTAACTTTATGTCTATGTTAAATTGTTATTTTTTATAATTTGTATTGTAGTATTTGATGAGTGCAAACATTACGTGTCACTGAGTGATCGTCAGCGAGCTGCAGGAGTCCACAGAGGCAACACCCTGAAATGTGACCAGAAAGACCTGACGACCCCCAAATGGTACAGGTTTTCTGGAGCAGCTGGTACTCAGATGCCTACCTCATGTGTGCCAATACATTACTGTGGAACACACGCACCTGGATGGTTAAGCACCGCGCACCCGACAAGAACTGGTCAGGTTGTTAACGGCAAAGTGTGCTTTCACTGGAGTAATAAATGTTGTAATTGGCATGCCAACATCCAAGTAAAAAGGTGCAATGGATTTTACGTTTACAAACTTGTAAAAACACCCGTGTGCTGGTTACGGTACTGTGGAAATGCAGGATTTGGTGAGTAAAGGGGTTAAACCGTTTATTGTCTGATAAAGTTCTCTAATTTAAGAGCTTAAGTGCAAGCACGAAGTTCATGAGGAAAATGTAGATTTAAGAAAAATAATTAACTAACTTATCATTCATTTTACATCTCTCAAAACTCCCCAGACCCATGTAAAGCAAGCAGGCCTTGTCAAAATGGCGCAACATGTGTTAATAACAACGGTGATTACATATGTCGCTGCAAGCCTGGTTACCAAGGAAGGAACTGTGAACAAGGTAAGTAACCAACCTTTGTTTTTTATTTATGAAAGTAGAACAAAAAATTTATATTGTGCCGTTTAAAGTAATATTTAGGAGGCTTGCTTTTAAAGAAGTCGTAAAAAATGCTATTTCTGGGAATCTATTTTAACGAGCGTAATATTTTTTTGGAGTTTTACTTGATGGAGTTAGATAAGAAAATAAGTTAATAACACTGCTTACTTGCAGACGTCAATGAATGTACTTCTAGACCTTGTCGCAATGGAGGAACGTGTCAAAACCTTCCAGGAAGCTACAAATGTAAATGCAAGCCTGGATACTTGGGCAATGACTGTGAAATCGGTACATATTTTGCATTCTTAATGAGTCTTGATTTGTTGCTTTACATCAAATTCTATCTGTTACTGTTTTTATCCGAAAAAACGTTGATCACAACACTTGATTAAGATTGTTCATTGCTTTATCCTGAAAAACGTAACGAAATGGGAAAGAAACAATACTTATGGATCCAGTGTACAGCTATATAAATAAATAAAAAGTATGCATTGCGTCAAAATTAGCAAAAAATTTTCATTTTCTGTATCTTTACCTTAGTATTTGACGAATGTAAACACTACGAACAACTCAACGACCGTCAGCGTGCTGCAGGTGTGCACAGAGGAAATACTCTGAAATGTGACCAGAAAGACCTGACCACCCCAAAGTGGTACAGGTTTATTGGAAACGCTGGCATTCAGATGCCAACCTCCTGTGTTCCAAAACATTACTGTGGAACACACGCACCTGGATGGTTAAGCACTGCGCATCCAACTAGGGTTGGACAGATCGTTAATGGCAAAGTGTGCTTTCACTGGGGTAATAAATGTTGTAATTGGCATGCCAACATCCAGATAAAGAGATGTAATGGATTTTACGTTTATAAACTGGTCAGAACACCTGTTTGCTGGCTTCGATACTGTGGAAATGCAGGATTCGGTGAGTGAAGTGTTTTATCGCGCTGATCTATGCCATGAATCATGTATTTACAAACCAAGATAAGACTCCCGCAACTTTTTCTCTTAATGTAGCTGTCCGGTGAATTTAAGCTCGGTTTACAGAAAATCATGGGAAATAATTAGTTTTGGGCTTACATAGTGATTGTGTCTACTTAATATAGTCAACGAGCCAAGGAAATCGAAAAACCAGCGTAAAGCGAGCTTTTATGAAACAATAACCACAAGAAATATGTTTGGAATGTTTCAGTGTTGCAAGGAGAAAGCTAATCAGGCATAAAAAAAATAAGCTGTAATAACAACGATTAGCTTTTTGTTCTGTGGCTTGCTCGTTATTGTTGTGAACGGTCAAAAATTAAGAACTATCCTGAAATATTTCAGTTGTTTGCCTTTTTCTGCGCTTCATTGTTAATAACGATGTCATCTTCAAACCCATCTAGACCCATGCAAGGCAAGCAAGCCTTGTCAAAATGGCGGAACATGTGTTAATAACAATGGCGATTATGTCTGTCGTTGCAAGCCTGGTTACCAAGGGAAGAACTGTGAGCAAGGTAAGACCAATAGTAATAACAGACATTACATACTTTTTCATCGGAACAACATATTTTGACACTATCCTACTTAAAGTCACAAGAATCCCTTACTTGAGTTCCTTATCTAATGTGCTTGTAAAGATTTTCTCCGAAGCTGCCTGGGCTACGAATGCTTGCAGACTATAAGAGAAACAAACCAGCAGTTAAAACATTCGGATACATTACAAATTCAAGAGTATTTTCCTTTATAAAAGACTGTCTGAACATAGTTATTAGAGGAGACTGGTTATGAAAAGCGGCAAACATCAATGATAAAAACAACAGTGCTGCAGTTTATGTTGGAAGCACCCTGAAAGTGCACAATCCTTTGTTTTCTGTTGGCAAATTGTTATCAAAAACATATAACAAAGGAGTCTGACGGGTTTCATAACCATTCCACTCAATTAACTAAGGTCTGAAGGAGAATATAAGAAATGAATTAAGTGAAACTCAAAAGTTGACCCTGTTTGTTCTCTACTGGCAGATGTAGATGAATGCAACAGTAGACCTTGCCGGAATGGAGGAACGTGTCAAAACCTTCCAGGAAGCTACAGATGTCAATGCAAGCCTGGATACTTGGGCAAGCAATGTGAAATTGGTAGGTAATTTGCATCCTAATTATTTCATGTTTGTTTTTTGTGAAAGTTTTTTCTTCGTTGTTTTATGCTTAAATTTATTTAGCTGTTACATTTTGCCCGAGGAATCGATGATAATAATCGATGATAATCATGAACGAGGATCATGATCATGATGATTTATCAAACTTGTCGTTTCTCAAACTATCTGTATACAAATAATCAGTTACTTTGTCTGGATGTTGGGTAAGGAAAATTTGAAATGACTCCTGGGTCCAAACCTTTCACGATAATAATAATGTCCTTTGTTTACTCTCGGTAGTATTTATTTATAGCACTTATGCTAGTGGGGCTTAGCAAATGCCTGAAACAAATAATTCAAATCCAACTTACATAACAGGGTAAAGAATCCCAGCTGGCTTCAGGCGAACCAGCTGGAAATTTACAATCATTAACGAGGACCATGATCATGATGCTTCATCAAACTTGTCGTTTCTCAAACTATCTGTCTACAAATAATCAGTTACTTTGTCTTGATGCTGGGTAAGGAAAACAAAAAAAATAACGGGAGCTGTGTAAGAATATTCGAAATTGCGAAAGGCCAATAATTAGAAAAAAATAGTCTTTTATATCATTTATTTACTGTAGTATTTGATGAATGTAAACACTACGAGCAACTGAGCGATCGTCAGCGTGCTGCAAGTGTCCACAGAGGAAACACTCTGAAATGTGACCAGAAGGACTTGGCAACCCCCAAATGGTACAGGTTTACTGGAGCAGCTGGCACTCGGATGCCATCTACCTGTGTTCTAAAGCATTACTGTGGAACACACGCACCTGGATGGTTAAGCACTGCACATCCAACAAAGGTTGGACAGATCGTTAACGGCAAAGTGTGCTTTCACTGGGGTAATAAATGTTGTAACTGGCATGCCAACATCCAAATAAAGAGGTGCAACGGCTTTTACGTTTACAAACTTGTAAGAACACCTGTATGCTGGCTTCGATATTGTGGAAATGCAGGTTTTGGTGAGTTTGAGATAATCTGTATTATAGTATCACGGATTTTACTCGGTAGAAGCAGCTGTCTCTGACGCGCCTGATTTTGAAGTAAAAAAAAAAGGATTAATCTTCTTTGTCTCCAGTAGCATCAAAAAGGACTTCTGTATGTTGGTTGCGTTACTGTGTCAGTGCAGGATTCGTTGAGAACGCGTTGCAACAAGAAAAAAATAAAAAAGTGTTCGAAAACATTGAACCTCGCTTTGCGTTATCGATATTATGTCCTAAGGGAATATCCAAGGGACCTAAAGTTTCTGTAATACCTGTATAGTGCAGTTGTAGTGGACAAGTAGTAGTTTTGGTGGTAACTATCATTATCATCATCATTGTCTTCGTCGTCGTTGTCACCATAATCATATAGTTCCTTTTCCTCGAGACTGGAACTGACCAGGAACTAGGCTTTTCCAAACTTTTATAGACACTACAAAGTCGTTTATTTTTTTTCCGTAATCAGTTGAGGACATTTTTGTACGGAGTGTTTTTTAATCCTACTCCAAACGCCCAAAATCTTGTGATAGAAAACATCCATTTTCCGGTCTGGGAACCTCGGCCATTGATCTGGCATGTTTAGTAGACCCACCATAACCCCTGCCCGTGTAGCTCATGGCATCATTAAGACGCGAAAGGCTCATCACCATAACAAAGGTGACATGCCCTGCGTAAAGTTGTAGTAGTAATAGCATTAGTTAAGTACTCCTTTAAGATATAACTGTCTAAATTTGTTTTGTGTAGATGAATGTAAAGTAAGCAGGCCTTGTAAGAACGGGGCTACTTGCGTTTCAAGTCTCGGAGGTTATACTTGCCAGTGTGTTCCGGGCTTTCAAGGAAAGAACTGCGAACAAGGTAGGTACATGATATTCCTGGTCTACCAGACCAGAATGGTCATCTAGAGAATTCCCCTAAGAATCAGGACTGTCCATCCAGATTTGTCTAGTTGAGTAAAAACTTCTGCAAATCCTACTTCATATCCAAATGACTAGTCCATCCGACCGGTTCTGTGTTTGGTTAGAAAGCGTAATGCTTTAACTCTGGAAAGGGAATCGACAGACTGTGATATCGTCACGAAAAAGACTGATCCAACTGATAATCGTCTTTTTTTAATACTTGTCAATACAGTAAGCTAATGTTATTGCGAATGCTGTATAATAACTACCGGCACTTTGTTCTTTTTTAGATGTTAACGAGTGTATAACTCGACCCTGCCTTAATGGAGGTACTTGTCAGAATCAACATGGAAGTTACAGTTGCACCTGCAGGCCAGGATTTACCGGAAAGAATTGCGAAAAAGGTAATTAGGTGGATTGATACCACAGGGGAAGTAAGCTCATTGTCAAATACAACTGAGGATAGGATTGTAAAGCACGTTTCAAAACATTGTTTTAAACACATCTGAATATAAATCATAATCCAAATTAACAGGACGTGCCATGTTTCAAGTTCTAGGACAAAATTAAAATGCAGCTTAAAATAGTTCATTATGAGGTGCGGTTCTTTGAGTTAAAACAGTATACCTTCAACAAGTTCTTTACCACCAATTTCTGCTTCATGAGATAAATAGCGTGAAGCCTTCGATTCAGATTTGAGATTTAGCTTAACTGACTTAAGAGTAAACGGTAACAACTAGGTCCAATGGCGTAGAAACTGATTCAGTATTCTCCTCCAACCTTGTTCTTGCTTATTTCTAAACGATTTCTTGTTATAGTACTTGATGGCTGTGTGAATTACAAAGTTCTTGACGAACTGAACCGTTCAGCAGGCTACACGGGTGCCCTTGCTGATTGCGACCAAACTGCACTGAACTCACCAGCGTGGTACCGTTTTAACGGATCTGCTGGTGACAAGATGGCGGACTCTTGTGTTAGAGAAAGGCATTGTGGAACGCATGCGCCTGGCTGGCTGGATGGAAATCATCCGGTTAATGTAGGCGAGGTCGTTGAAAGGCAAGTTTGTTTCCACTGGGGCTCCAACTGCTGTAAATGGTCTGTGAAGATTAAGGTGAAAAAGTGTAGAGGTTTCTTCGCGTACGAGCTCCAGCGGACTCCCACATGTCATTTACGTTACTGTGGCAACGCTGGTTTGGGTAAGAAGACATCACAAACTTACAACTATGATAACACATCATTAATTCAATCTCATAACAACTAGCCATTACCGTATTGCAAGTATAGTACATTGCTGTGTTTTGTTTTTGCTAAAGCTTCGTAAGCTTCCCCTGGAAAATACTGAAACAGACGACCCTAAGATTTATTCATTTACTGCTTCCTTACAACACCAGTTTATTTTTGATAGTTAGCCCAGGGTACGTATGGGTCATGGAAAACCTGAAAAGTCTTTTTGACTTGCAATGTAAGAATTTCATTTTCCATGGATGGAAAGTTTTGAAAAATCATGGAAAAGTAAAGTTATGTAGACGCGTAATTCAATGCGTTTCAGAACTTAAACGTACTTGCTGGGAATTAACCTGAGCTTAACGTTAAGTATAATAGGGTGCGAAAGAACCGAGAAACCCTGTTTTCGTCCAGTCTAGCAACAGTAAATTATCCAACATTAATGCTGTCTTATTTACTCTTTCTTCTTTTTTACTCTAAGCTGTGAATGAGTGTGTTATTCTCAAGCCTTGTAAAAACGGCGCAACTTGTTATGATTTATTGAACGGATATCGCTGCCACTGCGTGCCAGGATACCAAGGAAAGCACTGCGACCAAGGTACTGTCGAACTTCTTTTATGAATCCCAACATTTATATAACTATTATAGCACAGTTACTTTTTTAATCCGGATCCCTTCGGAAAGGCGTAAGGGAGAGCTGGGTCGACTGAACGAAAATGCGCGGATACGTTTTATTAATGAAACACTGAATGAATGTTCCCTGGCAATAACTAAAGACTCCCAGGATTATTTCCATTTTCAACTATGGTATAATCTAATTTTTCTAAGGACATATAATTAGTATTAGTCTTATTTCTTTACTTCTTCCTTTTTTGACAAAGGTTTCTGACAACGAAAAGTTTAGAGAAGAAGCTCAAGAAGAGCTTATTTTATTTTACTAGATATCAATGAGTGCGTCACAAACAATCCATGTAAGAATGGTGCGAGTTGTGAAAACAGCATTGGTAGTTACACTTGTCGTTGTACAATCGGATTCAATGGCAAACACTGCGATCAAGGTAAAATAAAACAGCTTGGAAGGTAATGTCGACCTTTTTCTAGCTTTGTCAGTGTTTGTCTTTCAGCCATTTCAGACTAAATGTAGAATTGTTACAGAGACCTCTGTTGATACAATCCTCTTCACATCACGTTGGGAAACCCAGTGCAAAAACCATGATACAGCGACAAAACGTTGTGCTCTTTCCCTCCCAGTTTTGAATTTTTTTGCTTCTGTGATGCAAACTGGCATCATTGGGAGGGCAGAAAACATCCCAGCTGTCCCAACTAATGTGACGAGGATTGTAGTTGTAATAAGTATCCATCACCTCTCGGCATATGCATCGTGAAACGGCGTCTTATCCCTTTGTTAACTGTGTTTATATTACTGTATTACGGTAAAAGTAGGAGAAACAGGAACATATAAAAATAGGAATATATGAATAGGAATTTCTACCTTGTTGGTTACTTGTCCAGCCAAAAAAGGCCTTTAGAGTTTCATTTTTATGGCTGCAACCATTCTTGAGAAGCTCTAAAACTTAAATATGCACAAACTCATTCGAAAAAAAAGACAAATAATGGCCTTAAACTTTAAACCTTTTCAGATGTTAACGAGTGTGCGGTTAACAATCCATGTAAGAATGGCGCCACTTGTGTTAACAATGTTGGCGGATATCAGTGTCTGTGTGCCCCAGGATATCAAGGAAAACAATGCGATCAAGGTACAAGCTGGTTTTTTTTTGACCAGTTATTTAATTTATGCCGCATTTTTCAACCAATGGCATTGTATTGTAATTATTCCTGAAGAGATCAACGATTTCCTCTCCAATTTCTAAAAAAAAGGATCTGCATAAGGAACTACTTCATCTGGACATTTTTACAGCAGGCGTAAGGCCAACTTGATTTCGTTGCTGTTTTTTGCGCGTTCTGAATGAAAGGAAGCTCGCATAAAGACCACAATAATAACAGTAGCAACTATTCAACCTCTCTGAAATTGTATAAACCCTCTTCATATTTTTAGCAATGTCGATATCGACATACAGCTGCTTACATACATTCATGCATGAAATATAGACAAAAACTTGTTCTTTAATCATAGCCTTTATTTTGATTTAAGTTTAAATTTCATATAAATGAATGCAGGTAATACAATGTACCCTCTCGGAATACTGAAGTAAAGTTGTTGTCGTTATGTTATTTAATGTTAAATATCGAATAGCGCACCCACCCATATTTGATCAAATTTTGAAGATAAAAACAAAGAAATAGATAAATAAAAGAAACAAACGAAAAAGAAAAATAATAGAAATAAACAACTCGCAGCCTCATGATTTTGTGGGTTATTTCAGATGTAAACGAATGCATCATCAGTCCCTGTAAAAACGGGGGAACTTGCGTGAATCTAAAGGGAAGCTACAGATGTGATTGTACACAAGGATACACAGGCAAACACTGCGAACAAGGTTAGTTAATGTGCCATTTGTGCAAACCAACAAAACACCACGTCCATCGTAGGCGAGCGTCGCTCATATCAAGAACTGCTGCGACTCCAGGCCAGAAGTTGCTGACACATTACAAAAGATCTTTCATTGTGTTCGCTTTAATTTAAATGTAACTTATAGAATTCTGTGATTGAATGACAAATGATTTCCTCAAAAGCTCTTCCCTCATTTAAAACAGAAAGTTAACTTTACCTTTAATACGTTTCAGATGTCAACGAGTGCGCTGTTAACAATCCGTGTCAAAATGGCGCTACTTGTGTTAATAAAGTTGGCGACTACCAGTGTCTTTGTGTCCCAGGATATCAAGGAAAAAATTGTGATCAAGGTGAGTTATTTCTCGGTACAGTAAAAACCAATCAGCACAGTCATAATTAACTGCGATAAACCATCTATCTGTTGCTTCTCACTTTTAGATGTCGACGAATGTCAGTTTAATCCTTGCAAGAACGGTGGAACTTGTTCAAATGTTCCTGGAAGCTATAATTGCAAGTGCGTCAGTGGCTATAAAGGAAAGGATTGTAAACAGGGTAAGAAAATAACAGTATCGAGAACTTTATCTTTTGGACACCTTGACGGATTTTCCCAAAAATGCACTGACTAAACGATTGACTGTTACTGAGTTCCGTTGTAAAAACGTGCCTTCTTGTTTAATGATAAGTTGTGATGTGGTAAAAGACGCAATTGCTCTGTCTTTTAGCACAAAACAACCTGTCTCTCTTCCCATTGAATCCTGCAGCATCATCTATTTTTCACAAGAAAATTACTTTTATTTGCCTTTTTAGATTTAAACGAGTGTGTAGTGAGTAATCCATGTCAAAATGGCGCCACTTGTGTTAACAATCTTGGTGGCTACCAGTGTCTTTGTGTCCCGGGATACCAAGGAAAACACTGTGATCAAGGTGAGTTCTTTCGCAAGCCGGTAAATATCATATTTATTAGGTGAAACTGTTATATAACGAGTGTGCGCGAAATTTCCCGGTAAAATTGCGATGGAACACAAAGAAAACGCGACAGGAAAAAAGCTTTTCCTTTTAAAGCTTTTATAGCTTTTCAATCTCCGATTTTTCCTCTTAAAATTGTTAACAACAACAAAAAAAAACACTGAAGTAAGTCTCCCTTTTGTTTCTCATTTTTAGATGTTGATGAATGCCAGATAAATCCTTGTCAGAATGGAGGAACTTGTTCAAACATACAGGGCAGCTATAACTGCAGTTGTGTCACTGGGTTTACAGGAAAAAATTGTGAAAACGGTAGGGAATTTACTGTGTTTACTGAGTGTCATTATTTTTTGTCGCAAACTACATTGAATCACGGAGAAAAAGAGGCCATGGGTGTCATCACAAGCATATTCACTATTTATAAGATATTTATTTTTTTCTAGTTTTATTTAATGGATGGAAAAGGTAAAGATGTTGTGTAATTTTAGATATTGACGAATGTCGAAATAGTCCTTGCATGAATGGAGCAACGTGCATCAACAATCCAGGCAGCTATCAGTGTAAATGCAAAGGCGGCTATGATGGCAAACACTGCGAAAACGGTAGGATGCATGTGATGTCTGCCTTGTTTTTTTAATAATCTGCCCCTTTTCAATTACTTTTACTTTCTCTTTTCTTTTATTCAATTCTTTTTTTTTCTGAGCGCAAGACCATACACTAGTTTTAGTCCAACGAACTTCCTTTTGTGTCTTTTTCCTGTGTAGACATTGACGAGTGCCAGAATCAACCATGTCAAAACGGAGGAACGTGTCAGAATGAACAAGGCGGGTATAAGTGTTCCTGTAAAGCAGGCTTTCAGGGCAAGAATTGCGAAAATGGTAAGGAAAACATACTGAAAGATATAAACAACAGAAATCTTAGGTGCCTGCGACAACCAGGCTTCACTGCAAAACATCGAAATTTGGTCTTACAGTTGCAAGACGTTTCTTAGATTTAAATTTGGTAGATTTTGATGCGAAAGATATTTTTGTAATGTAATAATCGTTAGCATGCAAAGTATCTACGACAGTTTATCAGGAAAAAACTCAAACTTGAAAATGACGTCACTATAGCACCGAAAAGACTATAAATCTTATCCGCATTTTTATTATTTTTTTTGGAAAGCTTAAACGTGTTTATTGCCAACGTGCATTATTAAATTAGGGACTGTGCAATAATTATCAGGGGGAAGGAAATAAGCCAAACATAGGATAATATTACGTTGCGCCCGCTCCCAACAAAGGCAAATTAGACCTGATCCCCCTCCTGGTTACTTAAAAATTATGACCAGCCCCTCCACCACTCCCGACTTGCACATGCATGTTCTTTCGTTATGTAAACTTATGAACTGTAACGTTTTTTGACGGCTGTGTCTGGAGCATTAACTCAAAACTACGTTGTGATACACAGCCAACCATTTCAGAACAGTCCCATTAGGTATCGTCTTTTGAATCCTTCTGTATGTGAATCACTGGATTGAAGTTCTGAGTCATTTGCGTCATTACATTCGATCTAGTTGAGTCATGACCAGCACAAACATATCTCAGAACGCGAGCTACTAGCCTCTCTTTCCCTTCACTGAATTGTTGACTTGTTAATAGTGCTGCTTCAGGTACAGTCTTAACTGTTTTTCGCTCAGCGAACTACTCCCGCAGATCTTCATTCTTTTACCACCAGATGGCATGAGATGGCTTCTTCCTCTGAATGAGATTCAGTAAGATCTGCCGCTCCTTAAGATAACTGGGGAGAGATGAAGAAAGTCATTTTTTCTAGGATCTAGGCTCATCATGAATAAAATCTGACACTTCCCTAGCCAACTTCCAAGTATTCCCCACTTTCCATTAAGAGCAATATTCTTCGATCTCTCTTAGCGTCATGTTTTCGTCATGTCTGTAATGTGATCGAATAGGAGAGGCATCCTCGTATCCCGCTATTCGCACAATTTTCGCGTTTGCTGAGGTTCACCTGGCACTTCCGTTGGGCTGAAAATGTGTTTACTTGAGTAACTGCTATAGAAGGGACACATCATTTTGTCTCATAACGAGACACCCCCCTTTTTTAAAAATCCTGGACACAACCCTTTTCTGTTAAGTAAAGATAAGCTAAAATATCAGGTAACCAGGATTATCTATGGCCTTGTTACTAATTATTGCTAGTTCTTTGTTATATTTTGATCACATATAAATCATGTTTTGTTCATATAGCATGAAATCAGTATCATTGTTAGTGAGACAGCTTGTCCTTAAGAAAAGTAGATACAACCCCTCTTCTTGAAAGTAAAACGTAAGGTGTTGCCCCTCCTCCTTTTGACCATTATTTCATATGGTACCCCCCTTTCATATGGTTTTATAACCCCCTCCTGGTAATTATCGCACAGTCCCTGAAATCCATTTGAAATTAATATTGACAAATCCTCTATCGTACATCCAACTGTATTTTTTTATAATAACAGTTTGCTAAATTTGTTGCCTTTTCAAACTACATATTTTAACAATTACCTGACTCTCTTAAAATAGTCATTAAAAATAAATGTTATACTTGAACATGCTTTGATTAGATGTGGACAAATGTAAGAGTTCCCCCTGTAAAAACAGTGGAAAATGTGTCAATTTGCCTGGCAGCTTTAGATGTGACTGTACACAGGGATTTACAGGCAAACTTTGTGACCAAGGTGACTATCAAGCGCTTTTTTAAACTTTCATGGCTTTATTATAAATAAGAGTTTTAGTTAGCTTTGATGTCTTGCGATCATTTTCAAATGACTATGAAATTAAACTTAAGTTTATTCAACTATTGTCATACTTCTCGCTGATTTCATGGATTGGATGCTTCCTTGTTTTGGCAGAGGTTTCACGTTTTTATTTTCTTCCCAACTTTACTTTGGTTTTGTTTCGGGGGTACAGCTTTTGCGATAGTGCAACTAGTGTCAGGTAAACGGGAAAATCGTTCCGACGTTCTAGCGAGAGATCGTTCTTTTTAATTCTTTTTAACCCCCTGTAACCCCTTGTCACCCCCTGTAACCCCCTGTCACCCCTTGTAACCCCTTGTAACCCGTTGTAACCCCCTGTAACCCCTTGTAACCCTTTGTAACCCCCTGTAACCCCTTGTAACCCCCTGTATTCCCATGTCATAAATCGTGAAAATAAATCGTGACAAAACGATTTTCGACGTTTTATCTTGCAAAGAAGCCTTTCTGAACAACAAAAACATCGGTTTCAAAAACCCACAAAATTGGCATTTTTGCAAAGGCGTTAGTCCATGGTTTTGGTCAAAAATTTGAAATTTTGTCAACGTTTCGTTTTATGCAAAATACACTCAGAAAAAGTATTTGGCTACGTTCTCGTTAGAAAACAAGCCTTTCTAGACAATATAAACATGGATTTAAAAAGAAGGCAAAATTGGCATTTTTGCAAAGGGGATAGTCCATGATTTTGGTCAAAAAGTTGAAGTTTTTTCATGTTTTGTGTTTATCAAAAATAGATCGAGAAAAAGTGTCGGGTACTTAACTGGAGCAAACAAAGACGTTCGCTTTATACCAGGGGGCTTTTTGGGTGGCTTCGTTGCCTTTAGGTCTTACGTTTTACTTATTTATTTTTTTATAATTCTGTTAAGATTAAAAAAAAAAAGAAAGAAATTAAGGTGATTCCCTGGTTTTGCACTGCGCATCTATTACTGCGCATAACAAGATGGCCGCCGTATAAAAGAGCATTTGAAGTAACATTATTAAAATGAAGTTGACTGAAGAGAAATGCTATTGGAATTTTTGCTTGCTGTTGTTTCTTACCGAGGTGAGACTCAATATGTTGGGAATGTGCATAACGTAAGCAGACTCAATATGTTGGGAATGTGCATAACGTAAGCAGTACGCGTGTTGCTAAGTTCGACTTCCTCTCGGAGAACCTCGATAGTGGATGTTTAACTTGTGCTTTCTCACTTTGATTTTTCATTTGAACGCTTTCTTTATCATAATTATTGTGTCCTAAATGTGGTGTAAATTCTGTAAAAATGGATTTTTCAATACTTTCTTCACCCTTTCACATACATTCTATTTTGAAACTCGCCCCAGTCCTCTCTCAAAAATCGGAGAAAATGCATTTGGTGCGCACTTTTTGCAGCTCTACTGCAAAAACGAGTACGGTGACCCCCATTTTTATTCATGATTTTAATAAGGACAGTGCTTCCTTTCGATGAGAAAAAAATTGGCACAAATCTATGCTTTTTTTGGCAATTTCTTAAATTGTACGGATTGAACTATGACTGGTCGAATAGAGCGTGTCCAATTTAATTCCACTTTGGAGCGTAAAGCAAAAACAAGGGCATTAAAAAGCATTTTTCTGGTACGTTAGTTTATATACAATCCATGAAAGTCAAATTCTGTGTGATACCACATGCATAATCGAAAAATCTCTCCTTTTTGTCTAGTTTTGGGCTGCCCGCGGTTCTTGTAAAAGAGTCCTAAATAGCCTTATTTGTCAGCATTGTGACGTCAAAACGAGCACGGTGACCTCCACTTTTTATTACTTTTTTATCATCTTCTTGACTTGTTACATCAGTGTACCAAGTTTCATCTACAATCTATGTTATTTTCTTTTACTAAGGAATCACCTTAATTCATAAAGGTTCTAGAGTTTAGTAGGCCAAAAGAAGTACGTTATATGTTCGTACTGAATCACATGAATGAGGCAAGCCATGGATTCGCCATTTAACAAGCTTCTCCATGTATTGGCAAAGTGTTAACTGGTAATTCATGCTTTCTTTAAATTATTGTGTAGACATAAACGAGTGTTCCACCCGCAGTCCTTGTAAAAATGGCGCTACTTGCGTTAATACATTCGGTGGATATCAATGCAACTGTGCTAAAGGATTTCAAGGAAAAGATTGTGATCAAGGTGATTATCATTAAATACTTCCCGTTCCTTTTTAGTAAAGCTGACTTTTTCTTTTGAAGGATATATCAGATCATTTTTAGTTCGGTATTTGTAACCAACTTTTGTTGACAATTTGTTAAGCTGAAGTGGTAGAAATTTTCCCTTATCTCTATTTCTGCATTCGCTGTCATCTATTTTGCTTTGTTTTTAAAGGGCTATTATGCCTTAGTTACCTGGAATTGGTGTATTAAAGTCATGATATGGTCTAGTGCACATGTTAAGTGTTTTGATAAGAAAACTATTGTTTCGGTTTATTTCTTTAGATGTAGACGAATGCCAAACTAATCCATGTCTGAACGGTGGAAGTTGTACGAACAAACATGGGGACTACGAGTGTACATGTCCAGCGGGATTTAAAGGGAAAAATTGCGAGCAAGGTAAGAAGAGGAATAAAGTTATCAAAAAGGCAGAGATAATAATTGTTGAGCTAATAATATGCTGCCACTAACAGTTCCTTCACTTGGTTTTTGTAGATGTCGATGAATGCGCAAGTTCACCATGCCAAAATGGAGGGACGTGTAAAAATGAGATAGGAACGTATAAATGTCTCTGCTTCCCCGGATACAAAGGGAAAAATTGCGATCAAGGTGGGGTAGATTACTCTCATTTGTACTGTTTTCAATCACACGAGAAAACAGGTTCAGGAGTGTTACTTTATTTTTTAGAAAGGTCTAAGCCGCGGTAGTATTAGCTTGTTAGGTAGAGCAGAGGACGATGTCTCGGGTTCGATCTTGAATATGATCCATGCCTTGCTTCAAACTGCAGACACATAATTATTGCGGATTAGTATCTTAAATTTCTGTGCATAGGTAGTTTGTTTTGTTTCTTTGATTTAACTGATCTTTTAATTAATCTTGTGGGAAAATATATAACGATTCGCAAATATAAAATGAAAGTTTATTGGCCATTACAGTACCAAGCTGTATGCCATTTCTGCGCGCATCGTGCGCTGGTCGGTTGAAGATGGAGACACGATAGAAGTGTGACTGAACAACCCTAGTGTTATAAGTTTAAATGAAACTGTTTATATTTTAATCTAGCCAATAGCAATATCGCTGCCGCTGTACCGGGTTCTCGGATGGATTATTACTGTGACAGTAAAAACTCCTGAATGCCCTTAGCATAGCCTGTGCGATATCTAAATTAGAAAACGCCTTAAAATTTAGATATTATATCTATTTAAAAGAAGTCAACAATAAAAACAATAAAAACCGCCAACAGTACATAAAAATTGTTTAAAAAAGTTCAAGTTCCTTCACCTGTACTAAATAATATGGCTATGCTCTCCATACGCATAAAATAGCGATCAATATAAATAATAATAAAAATAATAATAATAATAATAATAATAATAATAATAATAACAATTTTTATTTTATTTAGACGTGGATGAGTGCAAGCAAAGTAGCCTTTGCAAGAACAATGGTACTTGTGTTAACATACCTGGTGGATTTCATTGTCGCTGTCAAGCTGGATACCAGGGCGATGACTGTAGTCAAGGCAAGTGATCTTCACCGAACCTGAAATCCTAAAATCCTCACTTTCAGCTTTTCTAAAACCGTTGTCAAACGTTGCCATATTGTATGTTGTTTGGTTAGCAGGGCTAGTAAACGGAGCGACTTATACCTAGAAGGATTATACATGAACCGGAATAAAAATAATAAAAAAGCTCATCGAAACAAGCTGCTGATTTAGTTCAGCTCCAAAACGTCATGATTAATCGAATTCATTTCTATACAAGCTAGATGGGGCTTATTTATATCCGGGGCGGGGGGCAAGGGGGGGGGGGGGGGGGGAGGGTAACTCTAAGTACAATATGGTAGTATTTTTTTTGTTGGATTGGAAAAGATGAAAAAAAAAGTAGAAAAAAAAAAAAAAAAAATAAAAAAAAAAAAAAAAAAAAAAAAAAAAAAAAACCCTAAAAAAAATCGTTTTTTTTTTGACTACAACAAAAAAATATAATTATTAATCATTTTTTTTAAAAAAAGGGGAGTTGGGTTTTTTTTGAGTGGGGGGGGGGGGGGGGGGGGGGGGGGGGGTGGAGAAGGTAGGAGGGTTGTAAATGGGATATATTTTTCTGTTTGAACTAGTAGGCCTATAAGTGGTTGCGCTTATAAGCGGTAGTTTACGGGACACGAAGAGTAAATACTCGCATAAAAAAACAAAAACCAAAACGTAAACGAAAGGAACGAACCTTACTTACAATACAAATTTTTGTTGATTTTCATTCAATTACATCTTAAACACACATACTGTACCGAATTCTTTTTCAGACGTTGACGAATGCATTAACAATCCCTGTCAAAACACCGGTAACTGTACGAATAAACCAGGGAGTTACGAGTGCTATTGTATCGATGGTTTTGAGGGAAAGAACTTGAAAAAAGGTAACAAAATCTCCCCCCCAAAAAAAAAAAAAAAAAAAAAATCCGTCACCATTGTTTCCTCTGAATTTTTCCTGGGTGTTACACTCGTCCCAAGAGAAATTGAAGACAAATTTCTTTGGGGTGAACAAGGTGCATTATGGTCTATATATGTGAATTATTTTTGGTGAATTATGATTTAAACTCTGGAGCATTTAGTGGGTCTTGCTTTATATCACCTTTCCCCTGTCGCTCTCTCATCCCTTTTTAATTATGGCCTTTTATTCTTTCACTCTCCCTACTTCCTTTATTTCAATTGTTCTTTTCTTGTAGAGAAAGAGTTCGTTTCACTTGGATGTTTTCAAGACAATGCTAACGACCGCGCAATGGGAAAGTTACTTAAGAACTTACGGCAATTTATTGACTGGCGTGATATGTCAAAAACAGTCAAAAAGTGCGCGGAGATTGCCAGGAGTCACTCGTAAGGATTAATATTAGTTTTTGCATGTTGTTTTCCAGGTCCATAATGAATATTTTATTTTTTTTCTACACACTTGTGACAACTTTATTGTGTCCACCATCAATGTATTACTGATAAAAACAAAACATAATAATAATAATAATAATAACAATAATAATAATAATAATAATAATAATGTGTTTACACGGTAATTAAGAAAAAATATCTAAAATATGGCAAAAACTTTATAGACTGCTAATTTAGCGCAGTTTATAATTTGGGAGTCACAAAGAAACGCACTTAGCTTACATCAGTCAAAATCGGAATAATTCATTTAATATACCATGCTCTCCACGGATTTGCATGTGGTAAAACATTAACAATTATTGGACCGAGGTTGAGCAAAATATCGTGATTTGTCAGTGGCGAGCAGATCAATTGTTTGCCGAAGCCGAATAAGGAATATCTTCGGGAAGCGAAGCGATCTGCCATTTTCACGCAAGAGCGATCGCAAGAAGGAGAAAAGGGTGGTGTCATTTACGCACGAACAGAATATTATTTGCAGCCAAACAAAGTTGGACGACATTGCGCGTGAGGGGAACATTATTTGTTGGCAGTTATTTGCAGGTCACGTGGTGCGCTCTCAGCTAATGAAAAGGAAGAAAAATTTTCAACGAATGATAACGTCGTTTGAGAGATATTTACGCGCCAAGAATCCCTTTTCCCTTTAATTAAGTGCAAGGATAAGTCCTTTATTCATATGTTTTCCTTTTTGTCTTCAAAGGATGTATTACTTTGCTATCCAGTATTACGGAGAGTGTTGGGGTGCAAAGGCTGGAACGAAGTATGACAAGCATGGACCAGCCAATAACTGCTGGTCTGGTGTAGGGGGGCCGTTCAGCAACTACGTTTACAAACTGTGATAAAGTTCCCTTAAGGTTTGTACAAAAATGATCACCAGCTCTGGATGTATGGAAGAGTGTCATACCTACTAGTCAATTTGACATTAAAGTTAGTCTTACATCGTACCTCCTAAAATGACACTAAAACGTAACCGCTAGACCTCCTCTGCCCTCTTCTCGGGCATCTGTGTCCAGGGTGAGGGATGTTTTACAACGGCCGTACAAAAATGGGAAATCTGTCAAAATGTTCCTCCTTTTGCGATGTAAATACAGTCGAACCTCCATGTGCGACCACCTCTCGTAAGCGACTACCTCCCACAAGCGACCTCTTATCCTAAACACCAAAATTTTCCAAGTCAAATCTTTAAAGTTGAAACCCCTCGTAAGCGACTGCGAACGCACTGTAGGATGACGGCTTTAGAATTTTCCATTGATTTTAACCTCTTCAATAAAAAATAGTTAGTAGAGGAGACTGGTTATGAAAGCCGGCAAACATCAAAGATGAAAACAATAGTGTTGCAGTTTATGTTGGAAGCTTCCTGACCTTGTGCAATCCTTTGGTTTTGTTCACAAATTGTTGCTGAATAAATTAATGCAATGTTTCTATTGGTCAGTAAGTTTAAAAAATGTCTAAATTAAAGCATCGCGCATAAATTCCCTATCATCTCAAAGATAAATCGACAAAAGACAAATCGTGACGTGTCACTTACCAATATTGAATTTTACACACTCTTGAACAATATAGTGGAATCAATGGTGGTTTTTATTATGCCAAATTCTCTTTTTACTGCCAACGCAATTTACAAATTGCGTGCATATTAGCAATTGTGTTGAGAATAGCATATTTTCGGGTTGAATACTATGTATTTCAGCATAAAAAATTATATTGCTAACAGATATTTATAATTTGCAATTATTAAATATGCCTAACAAACTCCTATAAATTATTTTTTCTACTTTGCAGTGATGCCAAGTTCCTTAATTAAAGAAGAATTAAAGAAGAAATTAAAGAAGAAATTATTATGATATAAGAGTATTTATCCTTCATTCTAAATATGACATCAGAGAATAAAGAAAAAGTGAAGGAAGATGAGACTGTACTTTTTTCTGATCTCACAAATGAAGGATAACAATAACAATAACATAAGCTTTATTACCAAATAAAAGTTAACTTAATTTACAATATAATATATTAATACAAAAAAGGGTAACATTTACTCAGAATAACTAAAAAGCTAATCGAGCTGAGTAAAGCTAAATAATGTTCAGGCATAGGAGGTAGGTTGGCACTGGATGGCAATGCATAAAGTGAGGAAAAGGTTGTTACACTAAGATAACCGTGGTTCACTTTCAAAACGTTGGTATTGAAAACCACGGCATGGTGAACGCGCACTAGCCATATTGTTGATGCATGTCATTTACTAAGGTGTCAAATCCGTTTCTTCCATTACCCCCTAAAAAGCACGAAACATAATATGCTCAATAGACATACTCTGATTGGTCAATCATTTCTAAAGCCTTTTGAAACAATAGGGAACAAAGCTTTCTAGGGAAAGAGGGGAGGAATTCGTGTCGACTTACCCCTACCCGGAGAGAACTTACGGACGTACGCACGCTGACGTCATAACCAAATTTGCTCTCATCGATGGGTTTTCCATAGAGTTTGCACGCGAGGAGGCTCCGTTATTTTAATTTTCATTCAAAGAGTTGGGTCCTTTTTTTGGCTTGTACTATTCCCACCTTTGCCCGTTCGGGGTAAAGACAAAGTAACGACAGAGTGTGAGATTGAGATTCTCACTTTCTTTAAATATTTTTCACAATTTACATTATAAAATTTCAAAATCAAAGCTTTATTTTGTAAATTTTTCTCACCATTTTGAGAAAAAAATATCTTAAACTAGTTACACGAAGTATTATTAAATTCTATGCAGCACATTCATTCAGTAATAATGGCTATAATAGTAATAATCACATTTAGTTTTCATATTAAAGTTACATACTTCAAACATTACCAAACATGAATGACATAAGAAAACATAGCAAATAGCAAACATAAGTTTTATATAATATTTTGAATGAGTTTTGCCAAACAAATAACAACAAGAATAATAATGACAGTAATAATAATAATAATAATAATGATGGGATAATGATATTTGTAATGATAATTATAATGATGATCCTAATGATAATTATAATGATAATCATAAATTCATAATCATTATAATAATAATAATAATAATAATAATAATAATAATAATAATAATAACAAATAAAAGATAAAGTGGCGTAGCAACAGAGGAAACAATTGAAAGAAAATTTAGGAGCAAAACACTGTCATGATTCCAGTTTTACAAAAACTTTTACAAAACCAGCAGAGGTAAAAGCAATAACATTGGATTGATCTTACCGGTGTTAACGACTTCGACTGTTCCAACACGCGTCCCAATAGGGAAGAAGTTGTCTGCCTCACATTTGCGGTGCAACGTTAACCTCTCATATATCTAGAAGGAGATTGTTTTCAAACACTGAAACGTTTATTCAGTGAACATGATTTCAAGTTCACGGTCAACTAAAAAGTTATTTCGACGAAGAGGGAAAGGAGTGTGTCAGAAGTATAATAGTATGTTTTGGCAATTAAATGTTTAGGGGCTCCCTGCGCTTTACAACCCATTATACTAATACAGAAAACAAAACGACTATTTTGCATGCTGTTCTGTATCTTTGGGCGATTGGAAGGGGTTCATTCAAGCTTCGACTGATTTCAAACTGACACAATCTATTCGAGCAAGTTGGAATCTTACCCCAACCCAGAGATTTTTTTCTCTCGTGCGGCTGGATGCTTCGGTGTCAGGCAGAATTGAAACCCGGAAGCCGCGTACGTTAAGTGTCTGGCATCCAGGGTAACCTCAAGTGACAAGTAATGAATTAACTGGGAACAGAATTTGAAAAACTGAAAAAGGACACACCCTCCCGCCTTTAGCTAGTACTCGAAACTTGGGGGCTAACACTGCCTCCAGCTGCATTGCAGCTTCTAAGGCGTCTCAGGCAATAAATAAACGAGTTAACGCGTAAGCAATCATTAACTTATGATCGAGAGTGGAAGATATAACCAAACTCCTTTGCGTAAGATATAACCCAGACAGAGATACATACAGTTTACCATTTCGTTAAATTTGTGTTAGTGGTAAACTCAAGTCTTAACTGTCCTTTGTGACTTAACGCTTCGTGGAAGCTGGCTGGCAAAAATTCTTTAAATTGGGTAAGAGTCCAGTTTTAAAAGCATAAAAAGCGACCTATTTCAACTCAACTTCTGTCCAGAACTTTTTCCATCATCAGGGGCGTAGCCAGCTTTTCGACTATTTGTAGGCCCGGTTGACTTGACTCCTAAAAATTGCACGCATGGCTAATACACACTGACCTCGCCAGCACTTTGAGCTCTTAAACTATTTAGCTCAGCCCAACAATGCATAATTTAATACAAGCGGTAGAGTGATCAAACCCAAAATTTGTAGGCCGGGACCTACAGGTGTATGGGCCTGCTACGCCCCTGACCATTGCAATCCAATTAAGTTTGTTTGTTATAGTAATTTCAATAAGACTTTTGTTATCAAATAAGCTGTAAGGTGCTTGAGCTTAACTGTTTTAACGGCAAGTATTTATGTGTACCCATTATTATGAACTTACCCTGATACTATAGTTCCCAGGCTTTTCTGGGACCTTCACCGATCTCTTTACACATTTTCCCTCACAAACAAAGTCCTGGTCTGCAATATAGCTAGCAGCACACTCGCTTGAGCCAGCACCAGCGTTAAAGTATACTTGTCGTACATAGTTTGGACAAAAGAGTTTCTCGGTCTTGCAGTATCTGTAACATCCTGAGCAATGACAAAAAAGGGATTATACACATGCAGCACTGGCTATGAAAGACAACAAACATCAGTGATATAAACACGTCAGTGTTTTAGTTTTTGTTATAAGCTAAAGCTTCTTTGACGGTGCACAACCCTTTTCGTTTTTGTTCAAAAATTTGTGACAGAATAAATTAAAGCGACTTTTTTATTGGTCAGTAAGATCACTATGAGCGAGATATTGGACTTGGTACACTTTTAGTTCCACCCCCCCAAAATGCAAAAAAATATAATAAGGAGTCTAACGAGCTTCAGAGATCCAGGTTTATATATTAAATTTGTTGTTCAAAAATTGTGATGGAACAAATTAAGGCGAAATTTTTATTGACCGGGCAAGATCAAAATGATAGGAATATTGGACTTTGTACACCGTTAATTCCACAAAGTGCAAAAATATAGAATAAGGCCTCTGACGGGCTTCAAAGATCCGGGTTGATACATTAAATCTGTAAATTACTTTATATATTTTTTTTGAAATCCTGTCAAGTGTCATTTAATATTTCCTTATGGGTATATTTGACCTACCGTTCACCCAAATTATATCTCCTGGAGCCGCAGTGAAACTGTTCTTCCCCACAATCCAGAACAAAGGATCTGAATTATTGAGTAATCAGGTAAGGAGTTAATACAAACATAAAGTTAAATATTGATAGTTTTGGGTGGTAACAAGTACAAACCCATACATACGTAAACGTTTATTTGAACTCGAAGGTAGAATAGCTCGTAATAGCTAGCCAAGAATCTCCGAGCTCAAATCAGCATATAAAGATAATAAGTAAATTAAAAAAAAAAAAAAAAGTAGGTCTTGTCTTAAAGGTACACTTCAATCTGGAACCTGATAACTCACCAACGTATCCCGCTAAGAATACTTCAAAGTGAGTTGTGACGTCAGTTAATGATTCACATATTGAACTCTGGTTATTGACCTGATTGATCAATTATTAAGTCGTGGTGTTATTTGTCGTTGTGTTAAGCGTTGATGTTATTGGCTATGAGGGCTCGTAATGTCATTGGTGCGTTTCGATCCACCGCTTTAGTTGTCACAGTTAAACAGTCCTTTATTGTTAGTCAAATTTTCAGTTTTCCAGTCATTCTCTCGTAATTAGTTTTTCTTGAGTCCGGCAATAGTAAGTCGTTTGTCCGGTGCCGCTAACTTTTGACTACGATTCAGTGGCGTTTGTTCTTAGTTAGTAAACCAGCTTTCTAAAGTGAGTCGTCGATAGCAGTCTGTAGAACACGCAACACATGTTCCAGTTCAAGTCAATTTGATGTTTCGTCTGTAAATAGTGTTCAGCAATGTGATTGTTGACGTCACCATTTGACCCTATATAATAATAATAATAATAGTAATGATAGTAATAATAATAATAATAATAAAAATAAAAATAATTACAACAGTAATAACAAAGCTAACTATAAAATCCTATTTACAATTAATTTTGCTTTAAAAATACTATTCATCCAAAGCACTATTTACAATTCCTTTCGATTAAAAAAATCGCTTAGTTTCGATTAAAAGATTATTCGAAAAACATTTCATTTCAATTAGAAAAACAATTACTTTCGACTGAAAAAATTTTTTATTTTTATCAGAGGAAGGGAAAATGTGAATGTTAGTTAATGTCACCTACTTCCGACGTGTATTGTTCCGACTTTAACTCCCCTTTCGCCTTTTGGTATGGTGCCGCACCCATATTGAAATGGACTGTACCACTTAAAAGGAAACACATTTAAAAGTAACAGTTAATCCAAAAATTAAGTTAGGAGGAAAAAATTTTCGTATCAGATTCTAAATTTACTTTTTGACGTTAAAAACACGGCTATATTTTTTATAGACACAAGGGGAAAAGAATTTTTTCCAGCAGTAATATATTACAAAAAAGCATGTTAACTTTTTGAAGTGTCTCATGGCTAATAAATCATAAATTAGCCTTCTATCTTCCCCTTATTTAATTGACACCAAGTTTAAAGCTGGCCACTGAAGCTAGACTACGAGTAGTCCCCCATTTTTCGTTTGGGATAGTAGGGTGTGCGAAACGCGAGCGCGCGTGAAAATCACCTCTCGCGGCGTGTCGCCTTTTCTCGCGTGGGGTGATTTTCACACGCCCTTCTCGTTTCGCTGTCTCTACTATCCCTGAGGAAAAATGGGGGACTACTCGTAGTCTAACTGAAACAAATTGCATTATTAATTTAGGAATTCTTCTTTTACCAATGACTGTAATGAGGTGAAATAATTAACTGCTGACTGCAAAAGCCCAATGCGTTATTAAAACCCCACCCCGTAAACTGCAGGCAAAAAAAAACTTACGAAGACTAGAGAATCATAACACAGGTTGCCAATATTTCAGGGTTTTATAACACTTCAATCAAGTTAGAATATTTAGAGACTTCGATCAATATAAGTCAGAACTAAGACATTTTTATTCTCTTTTTATTTATTGTTTACAAGTTGACTGGATTATTTCCTTCAAGAAACTACACTCAAGCAAAGGTGTTGATTTTTCTAAAGATTTTTTTCAGCAGTTTTTGTTGCTGTGTGTGCTATATTTTGGTTAGGAAAAGTTCAAGTTTATTAAACACTTAGGATACCTATAACCATTGATCCTTGCCCGCAAAATAGCCTAACTAATCAAAGCCAGAACGAAGAGAAAAAAATACAATAAGAGGGTTGAAACATAACAATAAAGAAAACAGATATACGGACATAAGAATATTGAATTAACAAGACAGTGAGTACATATATTTCAAAATAGGTAAATAAAACAATGTGTGAATGAAATTATATGTTTTTTGGGGTATGGGGATTTACCTTTTTTGAAGGCAGGGATTCAGGATTTTAAAGCAAAATGGTGGCGGGATTCGTGATTGAAAGTATCCACGGGAAGCGGGATGCGGTTATTACAAATGGGATTACGGGATTGAGCGAAAAGTTGGGTCGGGATGACGGGATGGATGAGCCCTTTTGGGAAACCTCCTGCTATAGTGCCTGATAACTTACCATGATTTTATATTTTCCGTCATTCTTGGGAACGATGGCATCAGCAGTGAAACTGTACTCTTTACAGTTCTTAATGTAGCGTAGATATCTTCTACCCAAACAGATGATATGATCACCGATTTTCACGTACATCACCCGAAAACAGGAAGCACAGGTTTTGGGGTTGCAGAATTTAAAATAACCTACAAGGGAAAAGTATTGTTGGTTAGATGTTTTTATTTTTTTCTTCTTCAGGCCCAAGAGCTGACACCAGCCCTAGTGCAGGCTCTGATTGTTTCGCCTTGACCGAGTTCACCCGGCTGAGCGAGCCAAAGTTTTTTTACGGGAAAAAAGTTGACCCGGCCTGGAGGGCCATCTTACCTGATAAAAGGGTGACCCGGCTTTGTGATTACCGTTTTAGTCGATCCCACTTTTTGTTACTCACATAAATGGTTTGCCAAGTTTTGTAAGAAAATGTTGGAAAAGTTGTTTTTCCCAGGGTAGCTCAGGTAGCCGAGTAACGCGTATAACCTCATTTAAACTGGGCCTTACTAAGTTACTTTTTCGGTCCAACATAACCATTGCCACATACCGTGCAAAGCTACTCTTGTCCCAGGTACTTCATAGAAGGTTTTCTTTTGCAGCGTAAGATATTCACCTAAAATAAACTTTTATTCGTCAGTTACTAGTTTCTTGATACAAGTAATGTTCCATGACTCGCGACGTGTAAACATAAAATAATAACACTCCTGAAGTGAATGCAAGCTCTTTTTTTAATAACTGATTTTTTTTATGGTGTAATACCTTCGTCCCTCTTCCTTTCTCAATACCTTGGCCACTTTAATAAACAGTAATTTGTATTTTTCTTGCGATAATGTTCCCCACTTTACCATAACTAGCAAGAGTTCATCTTCATTTAGCAGATAAAAAAGCCGTCCTTAAATATCTTTTATTAGAGGCTCTCCCTCGATCAGTCATCTTTAACTGTTGTTAATTCGAGGTTTTTGTTAATTGTCTTATAGAAACCTAAACCTATTCTTCTGTACTCATTTGTAACACTGAAGCGCATCAGTTCATACCTACCTGAGCGAATTTCCTCTGAAGCTACAGAGATTATCCAAACCGCAATAAGGGCAAAGAGAAACATAGTATTCTTATCCTATAAACGAAACCATTTAAAGCATAAATTTAACTTGTGTATAAAGTTTAATTATTTTTAATTACAATAACGGTACTCTATCGATGTTATAAGTAATAAAATAATTTGGATAATAATAATATAAGATAAAATAAAATTGCTATTTTCCCAAAATGTTTACTGTATGAAAATATTATAGTCTAAACTAGGAATCCATATTAAATTTCAATGTGAGGAATTAAAACCAAAAGTTATGAAGATAAACAAGCTTTTTTGCTACGGATGCTTACCAACTGGAACATTATCATGGAGAGAGCCAACGCTACCTCTCGATTCTCGTTTTCGATATCAGAAGTTTTTAAAATCATCATATCAAACAAAGTGCACATATTATACATGTACTTTTACAACTACGCCAGGAAAAAAATGGTCAGCCAAGTGATCGTACATTGTTCGTTACGGGGAACTAGTCGCCTCCTTGTGTCACTTTTAACAATGAAAAGATATTAATGTAGTGCCCCAATAGTAACTGAAATTTAAATGAGCTGTAACAGCCCAGCTTACCCTTTTCTCCTGAAGAAAGGTATTGTTGGTACGATTTTGTAATTAACAAAGGTTTGAACAATTAAAAAATTACAAAACTTTGAATATTGAGCAATAAAGCGTGGTGGACCTGTACAAACGTTGATTAAGGTGCAAAAAGCTGCGTAAACTGTGCTTTGTCAAAAGTGTTACGTGCTGCCGGTTGAGTTGGAAATTTCCCACAATGAAAATATTCTTGATATTAAATACTGTTGGAAAAAGACAAAAACTTTCTTCATTCTTTAACCGGCTTGGCATATTCACTCGTTTAACTAGTTATAAATATTGTACAAAGACGCTATTAAATGTACTGAAAGAATCAGGAATCTTTCTAGACTTCTAGACCTTTCACTTTTCATTACAATTGTCTCCAGATGATCGCACCAACTTAAAGAACTTTGGACCTTTCCCCTGTTGTTAAATCTGTACTTTTTAGTGGTTAAGGTTTTTTTTTTAATTAACCCTTATTTTTTTAAATTTTATTTCATTTACCCTTGAATCGACATTTTGTAAAAGGTAGTCAGTAGTCACTAGTTTATATAGTTGTTAGCAGTTCAGGCAAGAGCCAGCAGTTGCCAGTGTACTGAATTAGGACAGAGGCATTATTTAAGGACACTTTATTTCACCAGGTAAATACGCTTAGGAATACGGATATTTTACATGTCATACGGGTGGAATTAAGGCAAATAAAAGGCAAATAATAATAATAATAATAATAATAATAATAATAATAATAATAATAATAATAATAATAATAATAATAAAATACAGTAAAAAAGGAAAAATTTGAATTACTAACTAAGGTTATAAATTAGCTATGATGTAAAAATAAAAAACTCCTTTCAACTAAAATTATGAGTGAATAATAAAAGTCATAAAAATCCAAAAACTCTGGCTAAAAGTTTAAGTCGCGAGCCCCGCAAACAACCCCACAAACCCCGCAGCCAAACTACGCAAATTGTCAGGTAGTGCATTCAAGTCAGTGTTTCGCGGCAAAGCTCAAGAAATCCAATTCACTCCTATTTTGCACAAATTTACAGTTAAGTAAGTATAAGAACGACATTTAGATTTTTCCTCGAAAGATCTCACCTTTTCTTAGAAGAATGATGGGAACCGTTTTACTTCACGAGTCCAAACCAAGATTAAAACTTATTAACTTATTACCGCGGTAGAAGAAAAAGGAGAAGAAGAAACAAAGCAGAAATCAAAACAAACAGACAAACAAACAAAAAAAAACAACAACAACAACAAAAACGATCGAGTTTATCGAAAAGCTTGTATTACCTTAAAATCTGTGATTTCATAAGAGTCAAAGCAATGTGATTTGGAAAGCGAGGGGTTCTCTGTTTTTGTCCTTGCTCTGTAGTTAAAAAAGGAGCGGTTATTTTCATCATGTGCCTTAGATGAGAATTTTGTAAGTTGGAGTGAGAAAATACTAAGGTGAACAGTCTTTCAAACTATAAGGAAAATTTCTGGGAGAAATCAATGTCTGTCGGTTACTATCTAATTCTGAAAACGACGACACAGACGATTTTATGTCAACCGTATTTTTTTTAAAAAATGTGAAAAATAGTCATTGGTTTCGCAAGACAATTTTTATGTATTTTGAAATATTGTAAACTGTGGTATTTTCTAAATCAATTTTACAAAATTCTGAGTAAAGACATGGGCAAAAACTGCTCCTTTGGGAAATATAATGCAATTTACTGCTGACCACGTAAGGTGACGGCTTTACACGTTTCTCGATCTTAGCCCACCTCTCTCGCCTCCTCCTCCCCACTGGTGTGTAACTAAAAGAACAGAAGAAGAGCATGCGCATAAACTGTTCAAGGAAGGCATCTTATAAACTTTGGCTTGATAAGGTATTTGAGATAAAAATGTTCCGAGAGAATTTCGTGAGCTGTAAACAAGGCAAATTTCTTCTTCATTCCTGACATACTACATAACCTTGTTCGCGTAGTTTCCTGGCGTAATGCATCATTGATTTAGGCGGGCAAATAGGTGGAAGGAGCTGGGCGGCTAATTTCACAAGGCTAGGACAACTTACTGATTGAATCCCGGGGGGAATTACTGCAGATTTCAAGTGACAGGGATGATCGAATGGGGGCAAAAATCAAAACCCAAAATAATCTCTAGGGCTTCCAACAAATTCCTCAAAAAATCCCTGGACCAAAAATTAACCCCCCTCCCCAACCCCCGCCAAAAAAATAAAAAATAAAAAAAATACCATGCTGGATTTGCCAGCCTTAAAAATTTCCAGAAAGCATTAAACGATATAAAATGTTCAGGTGTTCTGCGAGTAAAGTACAACCAAATAAAGTAACGCGGCTGGGATACGTGCATGGGCACTTCCACGAATCTTCAGATTGTTTTGAATACCCCCGAAAATCCCTACTTAAATCAAGCCACCCTTCCCAAAATACTAACTTAATTTTCCTACCCAAAAAATCACGGAATTGAAATATTTTGAAATCGGGATTACCCCCCTGGGGGTTGAATACAGGTAACTCTTTTAAGAGTGGCTTCCTATCCTTTCTATCTGGAAAACTGAACAAATATGAATCATAATCTTATGGCAATGATAAATGTAGAGGATAGGAGCAAAAAGATTTAGCAGAAAGGTTGGCATCAGCAAGAAAAGCACGAAAACTTAGCCGCGTGTCGCAGTTGCCCTTGGGAGAATGAATGAAGAAGAAAGCACACGAACACAAGTTTCTGATAACGTCTTGAAAATGTTAGCCTCAAAAGTGGCATCATTATGGTTGACAGTTTTTTTGCAACTGTTTAAAGTGGAGCTGAGACGAAATGACTCAGCAGTATGGCTGTCAAAAACGGAAAGAGAAAAATCGGATAATGGTTGGCCCGGCTATATTTTGCTATTCCGAATACAGTGGAACCTCTATTCAGGGGACACCCTCGGGACCAAGGCAAGTGTCCCTGGGCGGAGGTTGGCCTTGGGTTTGTAAATAATTAACCAACAAATAAAATATTTTTATTAGAATCGAAAGGCGTATGTTCTCACGGGCTGAGGATCGAAACTGCTGCAGTCCTTATTTCAAGCGGCTAGATGATAGATAAAAATCATGATTAACTTATCTATGCCATGTTAAGTGTTGAATTCCCACAAGTGCAGTACATCGATACAAGTGAGTTAATCGTGTTTTGAAAGCTGTCAAACACTTCAACTTATCACAATTTTTGTGGTAAGTCACTTTTTGATTGCTGAGGTGTCCCCTGAATGGAGGATAAATCCAGGTATCGGAACCCAGAAAAAAGTGTCCCTTTCCCCTGAATAGAGGTGTCCCTTCAATGGAGGTAACAAATACAAACATTATGTAAACATTTTTCCGGGGCCAAATTTTGTGTTCCCTAAATGTGGGTGTCCCTTGAATAGAGGTGTCCCAAAGGAGAAGTTCCACTGCACGACAAAACATCGTGCGGCTAATAAATTGCTATAAGGGAAGGCGTTCTGAGACCTCCGCCTTGCGATATAATCAGCATTTTTTTTTGCTTTCTGGGTTAAAAGTTTCTTAATGTAAAAAAAAAAAAATCTTCTTTATGTCTGTGTTCATGAGCGCTGGTGGTTTTATTCCAAGAGAGACAACAGAAGACAGGTAAACTGATAACATTTATTGCAGTTTCCATAACTTAGCGGAGTGGTCAGCTTAAAAAAGCAAACACTTTCCACTCTGAAGATGTATTCGTGTTAATGACACACAATTTACTTATGACAGTCGGTTCTGCAAACAATCAAAGAAAACAAGAATAAGAATAGTATTCATATTTGCATCATGTTACAACTTTTTCAACTTTCTGTTTGAGGATTTTTTTGATTCCAGTGTATCGTGGGGACTTAGCAGAGCAGTAGCAGAACAGCACAGCACGGAAGCTAACGTCAGATGGCGTAATACCGGAAAATGAATTAAGTTAAAATCATTGTTTAAGTCTAATTTTGGAATCCTAGATCGCCATAGATAAAACATACGGTCTATTATATTCTTCAATTTGGCCTCGCGTCACTACTTTCTTGCGAGATGGTTGTGATTTTTTGACCCGTGATGTAACGTTACTATAGTTAAACAATCTCCCCTCTCCCTGCTGTTAAGGCCCAGAAGACTACTTATAAGATTCTATAGCTATATGGAGGTTCAAAAAGCGTTTAACAGCAGTTTTAGTTTTGGACATTAATTACCTTAAATTTTGCGAACTCAGTTCACAAACTGATAGACAAAGTTGGAATGAGAAACCCCTACTACTCCCTTGAAGCAATTCTTCGCCTTGCCATCCCTGGCATATGTACTTCCGGCGTTTGGACCCGACCAGCATTCACCATAGTATTGGATGGCAAAGAACTTATACCTAAAAAAAAAAAAAAATAATAATAACAACAAAAAATAAAAAGTTGGACCAACAGTTGAAGTTCGTGTGGACTATATTTAATATACATCTGCATGTACCACTACCAATAAAACAGGAGGGTGGTTTTATGTGTTCTGCATGACATCTAAGAGCTTATTTCAGTTAGTTCAATTAAATGCAAGTTACGTTTTTTAGGTGGTGAGAAGAGGGGAGGGGAAGTCCTTAAATTTACGAGAGTTGCGCAAAAGAGCTCTTATTCTTTATTACTGAATGTTAGTGGTTAAATAAAGAGAGAAGTGATGACGTCACAAAAACAACATTTATGAAATTATCGAATAGGTTGGCATATCTAGAAAGAATTAAATGAAAAATTTCCACTTGCTAAAAGTAAGCCTGTTGATGCAAATGTCTCCGATGACTCCATATAAATTCTTCTAAAATAAGCCTGGGGACCGTTTTTCCCGGTAACTTTTCGGGCTCGGAAAGATATTTTATACTCACCGTGTTTGGATTCAAGATCAACGTTTCAATAATTATAATTTTGAAAATAATGATGTAGTGTAACTATCAGTTAACAAAGCAAAATTGGCTGTTTTGTGTGCTAGGAACCGTGCTACTATTCTACAGGTTTTGATTTCAAAATTTGCCTTTGGCCCAAAAACGTTACAGGGCCTTTCGAGAAAGGGGCCCCTGGGAGGATCTTAAACTTTAAGATCCAAGCCAAGGATTTGTATGGAGCCATCAGAGCATAGTATGCTAACCAATTCCATAATTTCATTAACTCGAATTTTCGTGACGTCACCCTTTCCTTCTCTATTCAGGTAGTCACCCTTTCTCCTTTGCCAATTCAGCACACTTGTCAACTACACTTTTCACATTTTGCCAGTCAAGTTCGGAACGGAAGTTTCCCAAAAGCTCTGGCAAGGGCCTGGGCTCCACAGCGCTGTCATGGAAACAGCCAACAGGTTCGTAATCACCTCCTGAAATGGAAATTGATTTAGGAAATTTGGCGTGAAACATTGTTTAATGCAGAATCAAAAAACAAGTGCTCATAACTTACTTCTCTTTAATAAAAAAATGAACGTAAGTAGCTGAATCAAAAACAGTTCATAATGGTTCAGTTATTAATCAATTTAAGTACTTTACTTACTTATGGCAGGCGTCGGCATGGACTGGACTGAAAACCAAATAAACATAAACTATTAATTTAGTTATTTGCTAAAATAAACTCCAACATCTTTTCTAAGAAAACTACTTTTGTTCTAACTATTAATAAATCGAAATATTGTACACTAGTAAATTCCTTATAACGGGAAAAGATGCAAAAAAATTTTACAGGAAATAAGCAAGGATGTATCATTTCCCACCAGCTTCACATTGAAGTGAGTGTAACTATCCCGGCAGTCGCAGCATTTCAGTATCTTCTTTTATGTTTCGCTCTCTGTCAACCGGTCTGTCTTTGTCCTTAACCGTTTCCTTAGGACCGGTTCAGACGCCGAACTTTTCATGCGCCGAACCTAATACATTGAATTAAGTACATGAAGAGTTGGGCGTCTGAATCAGTTAGGAACGCCTGTTTCAGTTTGGAACGGCTCATCCGTTCTTTTCGGCTAGCCCGGCCGGGAATTTCGCCTTTGGAGCGACTTTGGAACGGCTTTGATTCAGACGCCGAACTTTTCATGTACCGATCTTAATGAATAAATTAATATTATTTTGTAAGCATTTTGACCGAGATGAACATTTTTCGCCATTTGAACCTAGTTCAGCTGCAATTATGATCGGCGTCTGGATCGATTCAGCCGGTCTAAATAATTTGCGTCGGCCTTAATTCGAATTAGGTTCGGCTCATGAACGTTCGGCGTCTGAACCGGGCCTTAGTGGTCATCGTCAGAACTGGTGGCGTTTATTTTCTATCGTAAGTTTTAGGGTTGCGTAGTCATTTTGTGTCTCTGATGTGAGGAGTGCTTGCCATTGAAAGTGGACAAAGTAAGCATTATGTTTGTAGTATAAGGTTCACTTTTCCATCTTGTATGTATCTGGGTTATCTGAGGCGTGTCAAAAACTAGTTGTTTTCTTTTCAATGGTAGTTTATTAAATTTATCTTTTTAAGCTTTATGTTGTTGCAGTTCCGGCCCTTGAGAAAAACTTGGTTCTTCTCTATTCCCTAAGGACAGGGAAAACTGTGCAAAAGCGTAGAATTCTCTTCCACAACAATAACCGACTCATTTTGAATGCGCCTGAGCGGACATTGCCTCTAGGAAGTTATTGTAGGTGGCGTTATGATCTCTTGACCGATTGAAACTTTTTTATAAAAACAGTTTGAATGGTTGTTATGTATATGCTAATTGAATGATAAGTTATTACCTATGTCGCAATGTTGACCTGTCGTTCCTGGTGGACATTCGCATCTGTATGAGCCTGGCTCATTGTAGCATGTCCCCTGATTCTGGCATGGATTGTTTTGGCACTCATCGATGTCTATTTTATATTATAAGATAGTTCAATAACATATAACCGATTAATGACAACGCAAAGCAATGATTGGAATGCGAGTCGAACTCACATAAATTGAAAGTGAAAGATGTAGCAATTTATCTTGAACCCTTTGGTCTTGAAATATGGAATGAATCAGGTAAAGGTTGATTTTGAAATACACTGCCATTCTTGACAGTAGAGGCGTTTTGGCGGAGCGGTTAACACGGACGTGATAGTTCGGGTTCAAGCGTTGCCTTGGAGAACATTGCGCTTTTACTCTCTTCGCCCACAAGTGTACAAAGGGGTATCTAGCTAAGCGAATAGACTAGCATCCCATCCAGGGGGTGGGGTGGGGTGGGGGGTTCGGGTTGGGTTGTTGGTGCTAATGTTCCAAGTTGCTTCCTGTTTAGAAATTATTAGAAAACGCAGGCCTTCTGGGCCTCATGGCTCGTGTTCGCCTTTTTCTTTTATCGCCATTATTGACACAAACACATATTATAGCCATTTTACTATTATTTAACAGAACAATGTTGGTTGACCGGCCCACAGGCCTTACTTCATGTGTACTGACAGGAAAATGAAAAAATGTAAAACATTCCGAGCTTACCCTCTGAGCAGTAGAAGCCTTCAAATCCAGCAGGACAGATACATCTGTAGCCAGCCATGTCATTCACACATGTAGCGCCGTTTTGACAGTAATGACTTGCGCATTCATCAATGTCTGAAATGGTTTATGTGAGATAACTCTTGTTGTTTTGTTGCTTAGACGGCTAATGTAACTAAATGTATAAAATCATACTGCTAAACAAGGCTTACCATGCTCACAATCCTTTCCTTCCCATCCCGGCATGCACTCGCACACGTACCCACCGGCTGTGTTACGGCATGTACCTCCGTTTTGACAGGGAAACAGCTCACATTCATTCACATCTGTAAAGAGAAATCATATCCTCACATTTAAGGCTTCTTCTTTCCCAAAAAGAGTTTTTGATTCAAAGCTAAATGCTATCATTTTGGTATTTTTATCATTTTTGCCTTCCTTTGCTTTGCTTTGTTATTGCTGTCTCTGTTTAATTTTGTTGTACTCCTTGTTTTTCTTAACCTGAAACCTAACATGCCTTAACTGAAAGTGTCAAACTTTGATGTCCAGCATAGGGGTTATTTGGAGTCTTATCAGTATATAACACTGTTCCATTAACTCGCTATCTTTGTAGGGAACCTCTTCTCTTAAACTATCACGTTGCAAAATTCACATCGCACCTTCATCACAGTCTTTTCCACTCCACTGCGGCAAACAGCTGCAGGAGTATCCTCCATCTTTGTTATCGCAAGTTCCTCCATTTTGGCACGGGTTCTGTTTACACTGATCTAGCACTAAGGAAATAAACTTTTTTCACTTTATGACAACATCATCCTATGCTAGAAATTTGGGTCAATACATTGTACGTTTACAACATTAAAATGAGGATAAACTATCTGTCAATCAATAAATAGCAAGAGGTCCATGAGCTATAATCTAGTAAGTCTGGAACTTATGCCTATCTGCATTTCGCCCTCGTAGGCCTCAGATTGCACACAACCGGGCTGACCGCCAAACAGCACTGGAGTCAAAATGTCTGTGTAGCACATTTCTGAGTGGGAGACTTCTTCATTTCCCTCTGGCCGTGGTAGTGGAAGAGTAGTTTGAGAATTTATGATAATAACATAATTTTCCATTAGGGGTGTATTAAAGAGGTATGCCTGGCCAAACCTTGTTCACAGTGCTTCCCACCATATCCAGCATCACACTTGCAAGTGTAGGCTCCATCGGTGTTTTCGCAACTGCCCGCGTTCTGACACGGACTTGAATTGCACTCATCGACATCTGTTACCCCAAAAGTAATGATAATAAAATTTTATACAATGTACCCTAGAAGAGTGAAGAAACAGCAACTACAATTTATGTTATGACATATTTCATTTTTTCTTCCCAACACCATGCATTGCAAGCGTGTAGGCGTGAACGTATAGCATGTTCTGCCATAATGTTTGCTTGAAGCCTATCGTACCTTTTTCGCACTGATCTCCTGTCCACCCTGCACCACACTGACACTGGTACCCTCCGTCATTGTTAACACACGTCGCACCATTTTTGCAGGGGCTGGTAAGACATTCATCAACATCTAGGAGATTAAAATGATTATCACAAAGTTATCATAGCGGCAAATAGTCGAATAAATGGCTATGACTGTAGGAATACACATGCTGTATGCTTAAGTAACAAACTTAGAGCTGGATCTCTGTCTTTCCCTGAAACGTCCATCAAAAAGAAGCAGAAGAAAAGAAATTTCAATTTAACATCTCAAGCTTTTTTGTCTGTCTTCAACAGCCACATTGCTCCAGTTCTATCAGGAGAATCTCCACAACATAGATGTTGCCCTGCTAGTGTACCGCCAGCTTAAGCAGTGTATCATAAAGCAGGTAAGTGACAGTCAGTTATAAGTCAAAAAATAAATGAGGCTAGCCCAGCACGACACCGCCAAATTGGTATGTCTCTTGGGCTTTTTCGGAACAGTGCGTCATTGTCATGATAATTATAAAGGTAACTAACCTGCTGACTGAAAACTTACCAGTTTCACAGTCTTTTCCAGTCCAACCTGAAGGACAAGTGCAGGTGTATTTTCCATATTTATTTGTACATTTACCCCCATTTTTGCATGGGCTTTTGTCGCACTCATTGATGTCTATAGAAAAAGATTGATGTGAAAAAGTAAGCTTCAATGTCAGCTTTCCCGACCTATTTGACAAAATAAGTGTAAAAGTAGTTTGACTTGCTTGTTAAACAGTAAGTTGTTAATTACTGCTTTAAAGTACGTGTATAACTATAATTTTTCTGTGATAGATGTGTATCAAATAAATCGTATCATTTTCTGCTAATTACTATACTTCCTTGGACATTTTTTTTACGTTGTTTCTTAAAATCTCACTTTAAGCCTCGATCAACAGTTAACCAATTTTTGAAGTCGTTTTTTCCCTTTCATTTTTTTCCATCTACATCCGCTAGTGATTCTATAGCGCTAAGGCGTATTTTAAAGGTCGAACTTAATATGTGCCGACTGATACAAATAAGCAAGAAAAATAACTATAGAGATGTTCCTCATTAGAATCGGTTTATTTGAGTAAAGTTTGATGTTTGAAACGAGCCTAAGGGAAAGATAGCTGTCACGCTGGACTTTTTTCCCATCCTGTTTGAAGGAGGTACATGTAGGTATCCTTACTCCACAAAAGAAAGCAAAGCGTTGCCTTTTTTTCCACTGGCGTTTCATCTCAGTCCACACTTTCACCAAGCAATTACCTTCGTCACAATCCTTCCCAGTCCACCCTGCCGAGCAGCTGCAACTGTAACTACCAGGCTTGTTGTTACACGTGGCTCCATTCTTGCAGGGGATGTTCAGACATTCATCTATATCTGCACACAGAATAACACAGATAAAGTTGATTCGGAAGAAAATGGGAAGGTATTCAGGTATTCGGAAAAAGTTGCAAAAACCCATAAATATACAGACATGTACATTTAGCAACATATAACACATTGATAGAATCCGGCGCACGAGCTTAGCTTCTCTTNTGAAGTCGTTTTTTCCCTTTCATTTTTTTCCATCTACATCCGCTAGTGATTCTATAGCGCTAAGGCGTATTTTAAAGGTCGAACTTAATATGTGCCGACTGATACAAATAAGCAAGAAAAATAACTATAGAGATGTTCCTCATTAGAATCGGTTTATTTGAGTAAAGTTTGATGTTTGAAACGAGCCTAAGGGAAAGATAGCTGTCACGCTGGACTTTTTTCCCATCCTGTTTGAAGGAGGTACATGTAGGTATCCTTACTCCACAAAAGAAAGCAAAGCGTTGCCTTTTTTTCCACTGGCGTTTCATCTCAGTCCACACTTTCACCAAGCAATTACCTTCGTCACAATCCTTCCCAGTCCACCCTGCCGAGCAGCTGCAACTGTAACTACCAGGCTTGTTGTTACACGTGGCTCCATTCTTGCAGGGGATGTTCAGACATTCATCTATATCTGCACACAGAATAACACAGATAAAGTTGATTCGGAAGAAAATGGGAAGGTATTCAGGTATTCGGAAAAAGTTGCAAAAACCCATAAATATACAGACATGTACATTTAGCAACATATAACACATTGATAGAATCCGGCGCACGAGCTTAGCTTCTCTTGATGGATCACGTCTAAGATAGAACAGAACTGTATTTCTGATCGGACCAAACATCCAATCACTTGGATTATTTTTTCCTTCTCTTTCTTTTCCTTGGTTTTGGGGTAATCATTGACTAAGGGTGTGGCTATTTTCTACTGGATTTTAAATCCTTTGCATTTGGTAAATTGGTGATCGCACACTCGCAACACGTCCTCTAACTACACTCGCGATGCAAAAAGATTCTTAAACGCCTACCAATTTCACAATTTTTTCCTTTAAATCCAGAAGGACAGTTACATTTGTATGTTCCCAGCAAATTGACACATTTACCACTGTTACAGAGAGCTGTATTGTCCGCGCATTCGTTTATGTCTGAAAAGAAAGAAATGTAAAGAAACAACAAACATAGCACAACAAATAACGTATTTACTTAAATGGCCTATTATTACAGTTTAATAAACAGCTATGACAGTTGCAATACCATACTACCATGAAAACAACACAGTTGCAAAATGCTGTGAAGTGCGCAAATTGCATTATCATTATTATTTTTCATTTTGGCTTTTTGATTTAAAAAGTGTCTTTACCCTGATCGCAAATTGTTCCTTTCCAGCCTTCTGCACATGCGCATGTGTATCCACCGTTTGTATTAGTGCACTTTCCTCCATTTTTGCACGGCTTCTTCGTACACTCGTTCACATCTGTATTCAAGGAAGAAAAACAAACAATAGCAAAGAGTTGTTGAAACAGAGAAATTTATTTGACTAAAGAAAATGAGCAAACGTTTCAGGTCCTGTAAGGTGACCTTTTAACGCGTGTTCGCTGTTAATCTGTTTTAATTTTAATTGAAACAAATTAAAAAAAAAAAGACTGTAATACAGAAATCGTTGAATAAAAACAAATTTTTACCGCGTCCGTGTTGTGACAAGGAATTCAAGTTAATTTTGGAACTCACTGCTGGTAGCTCGAACATAACATAATTCATGTCGTTGCTTTATTATCTTAGTTTGTGACTCAGTAACCCTTGTTACCTCTGTTCAACGTTCTCAGTTTGAAAAGATCTAGTGGTTGACTCGCGCATTACTGTTGGTTAAAACAGGCTAAAACAACATACCTGTGTCACAGTTTTTTCCAAGCCATCCGCTCGCACAAGTGCAACTGTATCCACCAAAGCTATTTTTGCAAGATCCTCCGTTCTTACATGGATTCTTAGCACACTCATCAACATCTATTGAACGTAATCAACACAGCTGAAAGTACACTACGATGGGTATAGGAAAACAGCTTCCTAGTAATGCAATTTAATAGAGAGATACTTAGGAACGCCCAGGCTGACATAACAGTAGATTCGCCAACTTAACTTAAGGGCAGAGAAACTGATTCTGCTATCTGGGGATACGAGGTAAAATCTAATCAGTTGAATTGAAGTCCAAAACGAAATATCTCTGAACATCGGGGAAAGTAAAAAAAGTCGGACAAAATAAGTAAATTTCTCTTGATTTCTGACTTTTCATGTATCTTACCAGTCTCACAATGTTTTCCTGAGAACTCCTTACGGCAGGTACATTTGTAGGAACCAACATTATTGACGCATGTTCCACCATTTTTGCATGGATTTCCCTTAGCGCATTCATTTATGTCTGTGGGTAGAAGATGAGAGAAAGCTTTGCTATATTTACTTTACTTAATTGGGTCCTATGCCAATAAATTAAAATGGCGTATGAAGATTTTTAACAACGGGATGCAAGGCTGAAGTAAGCATTCCTGGAGGTATATTTGAATGTCAGTCTACTGATCGTTTACAAAGGACTCTTAATTTAAAGCTCTATTCCACAATCTAAGCTATTACTTTTTTTCTTGTAATTTGTAACCGTCGATATTTGGACTGATTTGAAAAATATCCAAACCACAATCATCGTCAAAAGTGTTTGGAAGGTTGGTACTTCTTACCTTTTTTCTTTCTTTCCTCCGCCGCTGGGCCAATGTTAAAAAAAATTACAATAGGTGTTTGTGGGCGTAATTAATATGTTAATATTAAGATGAATTTATTTACTGCTAAGATGTACAACCTTTCCCACTAATTTTTCCCAGGAATTGCCAATAAAACTGTTTTAATATAGTGTACAAGGGGAGATGCACGCGTCAGAGACTAAAAAGGGTTTAAATCTTGAAAATCCAATGGAATATATATTTTTGTTATGTAATGGTAAGTTTAGAGAAAGTGAATGGAGTGTGGCCCTTTCAGATCTCGCGCACTATACGTCATCATTATTTTATGTCTGCATTTTGTGCTCATTTTACAGAATGAGATAGAAACTTAGAAAAATACCTTAGGGGAACTAACATGCTCCTGGCTACATGAGTATATTAAGGCCAAATTGTTTCTGATTACCTGTGACTTCAACCGTTCCTACTCGCACTCCTCCTTTATAGTCATTCGCACGACATTTGTATTCCAGAAGCTCATACACCTGAGTAACAGTTTTAGCACAGTTACCAAAAAGGTTGATTTGATACTGCATGTTACAAAAATCTCACCTTTACTTCTGCTTGATCACCCTTTCTATTTCTCCCCCCCCTTACGCCTTCTCCACCTCAAAAGGTGTCGTAATTGGTTATTAGCCTTTTTGGGAAAGGTATGAAAAACTGAGAACAATAATTATAGTAAAACTTATTCACCTGTTTGTGTTTAAAGTGTAGTGCACGGGTCATGTATAGCAAATAGGACGTGACAGATAGCTGGATAATTAAAGGCTTTCTAGACGAATTACGTCCAGTAGAACTTGTACATGTATATAGGTACTACAATCGAACCTTTATGGGCGACCCTCACCTATACGCGACAACCCATCCAAAAAACCGCACGTTCCCGGTCAAAGTGCTATAGTTAGAATTCTTTCAAAGGAGATCAACTCTCTTAAGAGACCTTTAGTACTGTTTGCGAATAATGGCATAAGCGACCACTTGCAGCACGCCATGATTCTTTGACGGTGTTGGAGGAGCTGAAGACATATTTTTGATGGAGACCCTATATATGGTCTAAAGCGACAACTTAAAGGTTTTTAGCAATTTTGATTAATCGCTTACGGGAGGTTCGACTCTAATTAAGCTCACCCTGATGCTGTATTTTCCTGGCGTTTTTGATACTTTTATGTCTTTTTTCACGCAGATTGGCTTACAAAGAAGATCGTAGCCCGCGTTAATGTGCGCGGCGCACACACTCGCTCCACCCTTTGCGTGGAAGTACACTTGACGAATACACCTGGGACAGTAGATGTTCTCTTTGCAATACTTGTAGCAGCCTGGTTAAAAATTAAAGTAAACGTAAAAATAAGATTTAAGTATATTTTACTTATACTAATGTATATATATATTTTTGTTTTCTTTCTTTCTTTTTTTTTTTCCTGAACAATAAGAGTTGAATGTGCATGAAGAATATATATATATTTTTCATTCGCACATTCGCTTGCATTGAACTCAAGAATATTAACAGATAATTTTATACGATTCTTACCAAAGAAATATTAAAAAAAATCTTAAAATTTAAAACCGTCACGATATTTTTTTCGTGAGCTGCGCATAAGAAACTCCAGAATTCTTGAAATCCTATAAAGTCGTTCAGTTTGAAGTAATTGACTTTGCTTACCTGAAAGCAAGTGAATATTTTAATGAAAGTTAAAAATCTAAGCGATTTAGCAACGCGGCACATATATGTTGTGGGTTCAATATTTTCATAGCGCAGATTCATTGACTTACCCTTAACTGAGATTGTACCTCCTTGTTGGGCGGTGAAAGTGTTTCGTCCTTCAATCCAGTATAATGGATCTGAAATGTTGGAAATGCAGTATGCTCAGTTTAACTGATCTAAAGAGCAAAAGCACTTTAGGAATCAAGGGAACAGTTTTACAAGTACAACAACCAAATATCAACAAAATTCAGCACCACTTAAAAAATCTGCAAAAGCTAAAAAGGGCTAGAATATCTCAGCAAAAGCCCTAGGGACGAGGTTAAGGGAACTTGAAAGTTTAAATCGAGTGACAATATAAATAAGACCGCGCTGACTCATAATCAGAAACCTAGAAAATGGAGTGAAGGATTCGAGAAAGCATGCAGAGGACTGCTCAATTTTTCCAGATGATAAGACAAAACTAATACATTTGTATAGATTTTATTGTCACTTACTTCCAACTTGTATTGACCCAAGGACGACTCCTTTTGCGTTGTCAGGTATAGTGCCGCACTTATATTCAAGCAAGCTGTATGCCTATAACATACAATATAAAAGTTAAAAAAAATGAAATAATAATAATAATATTGATACTGATAATAATAATGATGATAGGAACGGCCAGTATTATGAGGAGGGAATTCGACAACATTAAACATCAACACAAATGCGAAATTAACTCATTCCGTAAAAAAGCTGACTACCGCCTTTTTTTCTTGTAGCCGGGATAAGTTTGCTAATGATAAGTATATATAGATTACACATTAGTCCATCAAATAGATCCATAAAAGATGTAGTATCGGTTAGTCGTGCAAATTTGTTAGCTGGGCAATTCTAACCAACAAAACTAAAATGTTTTGTTTTATATTTCTCGAATATTTTAGTTGCATTTATACTTACGGTGATTTTGTAAATCCCATCTTTCATAGGTACTTTCATTTTGGCGCTGAATTTATACCTCCAGCAGTTCCATAATTTCACAGGAATTTTTTTAGCTAAGCACGTGCTAGATTCACCAAACTTCAAATACATAACTCGGATGCAGGTAGGACAGTAGACTGGTTTGCAGAATTTGAAGGCACCTTTATTAAGGGGGAAAAAGTTGAATTTTCCTTGTTGTATATGTTGCAGTTCTATTTTATCCTTGGTTTAAAATATTATTTTCCTTTGTTTCAAGCTCATTAACATACATTATCAACCCAAAAAGAAAGGAAAGTATAAAATGAACCAAGAATAAAATAAAACCACAACATATATACATGTATCACCTCACTGACTCACAAATACGAATACATTCTCGCTACATAGGTTTTTGCTTGTCAAAAATGCTCCGAAAGATAATAAGAACTTGCGGTAGTGGTGACAGTAGTTCAGTTCCATGTTAAAGGTAGCTTAAGACAATTTTCGGTATGGAAACAAAAGAGCTTCCAAAAAATAGGATGATACACATTGGAGACCTTTAGATTCTAAGACGAGTACGACTACGAGTACGAGATTTTCACATTGCTAAGTAGTGTACGCGCGTGAACCAGCGTCATTTTGGCGGGAAAACGTGGTAGCCGTCGTCACTCTACTACGAGTTTTAGCGAAAATGTCGAAGTCGCGGAAACAAGTTATCAAATGTTAGAAGTTTTATCATTTTGCGATCGGGATGGGGTGTAACCTCCTTCACTAAAGGTAACAGTGCTAACTTTTCTAGTGAAAAATGTTAAAATGAAGCTTTCCGGGGAGTCTACATTTTGAGAAGACGCGAAAAAACTTGAAGTCAAATCTCGTACTCGTAGTCGTCCTCGTCCTTGAATCTAAAGGTCTCTATTAAAGTCTAAGTCAGCGAACTTATGCGAACTTAACTGAATGCTATTTTACTACTATTTTTTTTACTATTTACTGCTAACATCACCAAACATAACCGGCTTGATAATCCTCAATGTTTTCGAAAACACAAATAAACTGTTTTTCTTTCCGTCAAGATTTTTGGTGGTTTAGTAGCTAACAGACAAGGCTATGATGAACTTTAGTAATACAATGTTACCTCTAAGCTCTATCTCTGCTCCTGGTAGCTCGTGGAAGTTTTTCGTGTAAAGTTCCATATGCTCACCTGTTAGAAACACACATATAAACACAACCAGTTTTGAGTAAGGGCTTTTGCGTCTTTCGAATAAAATAGAAAAGTTATGACCGACAGGTTTTTATTTCTAAAGCCTTTTATTGGCCGCCAAAGGTTTTTAGCTCTTAGGCCTATCTTTTCGCATGACAACTCTGAACATGTTATTAATTGAAATTGAAGCCCTTTGTAACTTTTTCTGCTTTTATCTACGTCAAGTAAAATAATGTCAGACAGAAGAGTATATTAAGGTGGCTTTCTGCACAAAAACAGACTTACATCAGTACCTTCTGTATGACTCCCATGACGAGACTTCTGACCGGCGAGAACGAGCAATGACTTAGTCCACAAAAAATTGTCGAGAAGTCTTTCTCTGATATGAAGGCGATTTGCCGCGATGCAGTTTGCAAAATACTAAAACTAAACTATATGTAGCCATTTTGTCAACAAATAAATCTTCTTTCATGTTCCGGTCCCGTTTTTACAAATGAAGCAGTATTTATAATCATCCACAAACCCAGAATGAAGTGAGGTTTAAAAAATCCTATTAAATGTCACCTTATTCCCTTTTCAATGGTGAATGTTCGATTGTGGTAACCACGCTGTAACAGACCGTGCAACGATCGGATAGTCCAAAACACACTTTAGCTTGAAAAATGGCAGCCTCAGTTACAGATCAAAGGCAATCCCGGAGTGCACGCGCCACCTCCGGAGTTTTCCCCGAAAGGCGACGCACGTGCAATACCTTCGTCTGTGGAGGTCGTAAAAAGACAATTCTACGAATTTCCACGCTAAATTTCTCAAAACCTAGCCGTACCACCTGGGTTCAAATTTTGAGGATAATTAGAAAACATGAAAACGAAACCGGAAACATTTTTCAAACAAATCCTATAGACAGTTTTTAGTTATTATAAAAAGAGACAAAATTCCACATTTTTGGCTTTTGCAAAAATTCTGTCCATAGGATTTCTCTCTAAAAACAGCAATTTCTAAGTACTAGATAAATTCTGAAATTTTCAGATGGGGTCGTACGGCGTTTAAAGGTCTAGTTTGCAGACCTCTTTTTGGGTGCTCAGTCACTCTATTTCGCGTTCTAATACGCAATAAAATGTTTTTAGAAGGTAAAACGATACTGAATTTACATCAATTGTAGTGATTAAAAATTCAGTAGTTACCTTTGATTGCTAAAAATGTTCCAATTTGAAAAAGGCTATAGTTTTCATCCCAAAACTATAGAAAGCCACCTTAAGCTTAGAAAATCGACTCTTTATGCAGTGGGCACCCTTGACTCAGCGAACGGTATACTCGAGATCCGTAGCACACAACTATCAATAAATCCCTTTAGTCGCCCTTCCCTGAGGGCTGGATACCCATTAAAAAGAGACTCGTCTACAGAAGTACAGAAGTGAAAATAAGAATAGCACACAAGTACATGATCTAAACAACTTACCAGCACGAATTTCCTCTGAGGCTGCATGGTTAATCCACAACGCGAGTACAGCGAAAAGTAGCATCTTGTTTTACCTAAAAAAGGGCTGGATTAGCCTATTGCTTCCTTGCCATACTAGTCACGCCGATTTTTTGTTACCATTCGTACTCTTCAGACGACAAATCTAATTTGAAAGGGTGACGTAAATGAGCAAAGAACGCCCCTATTTTAGCCATTTTTAAAGTTATCCCTAGCTCGTGTTGTCTTACTGGCAAATAGGTTCTGAGAAGATAATTTCGACCTTCTAGTTAGATGGCTTAACAACTGAATAAAACTTCGCTTAGTTTAAGACGGATTATTTATCTCTTCAGTTTCATAGTGTGGCTGAAATTAAACCACTCAGTTGAAGGATGTCATGGATTGCTTTCATTTAAAATACTTCAATCGAGTTGAACAAGTTTACCATGAATTTTGTCGGTTTCTCTCTTCGATTTCAATCGTACTGAAAGTCAGTTTTCCTCACCTTCAAAAAAGTACGACGGGGCTTAAGGAGTTTGTACAGCCCACAGCAAATGGCACTGAATATAAAAGAGGCGAGCCCCTTTATGGCACAAAATGTGCTTGTTAGTAGAGAATGTCCTGTCAGGCTAAGCTGTTTAAACTGTGATTCACCCGGGTGTTAACTGAAACTAATTGATTTTCTAACCTACAGTAATGAAACAAAGCATTAAGCTTTCCCGTTTTACTCTTCAAAAGTAAGAAGAATAAAAAACTAATATTTTTGTATTTCTACATCTAAAAATTATTTAGAAATGATTCCAGCAGCAAATCTGATCTCACTGATCTGTTTGCTCCTTTACAGAACTTTAACTTCCATAGGAGACAGAAAGCTATTTGATCAAGTTCATTTTTCCGGTTACCGAGTATGGAAGTCTTTGTTAATAACCCTTCAAAGTGTTCCCTATCATTATTTTGAGTTAATCAGGAAGATTTTACTGGAAGAGGCTTTGGTATCCCTATATGAATACATTACCGGTGGAAAGGTTTCGGTACTTTTAGGAATTAAGAAATGTTAGCAAAAGGAAAATAATTAGCGAAGTAACAAAATGGTTCATTGTTTGGTCATTTCTTGTCTTAACACAATAAAACTAACATTTTGACTCACTTTGAACCAAAACGATCTTCTGTTAAGGATCTGAAATGTCATTGTCTTGCTACATTTTTATCAGTGAAAAAGGCTAATCTGAAGCAAATAATGGGAAGCTGTTAAGCTGGCAATTATTATAAACACAAGAAATAAATGACCGCAGAGTGTGGACATAGTATTTAAAGCATTCTTTCCTGTTTTTTTTTTTCCACGAGGCCGGTGAGAATAATAGAAACATTCAGGAAATCTCTGCTATTCTGAATTCTTGAATAGCAAAGCTAGAAATTTTCCAAATTTTCTTTTTTAATCAATAAATAGACGAAAACAGTTGATTAAGCTAACACTTAGTCGCGGAAGTATTTTTAGTTCATAATCAAATGTTTTCTGTGGAATACGATATGACCCAGCCTCAACATATCACTCCTCAAAATAAAATAAATCTTTAAACAATTGTTTACAAAATTAAATCATTCACTGGTCATAAGCAATCATATTGCTTATGATAAAAAAAAATATCCCAAATGTAACAATCATATCACCAGATTTAATTTTATTACTGTCAAAGGAGTATTGTGGTGTTCGCTAATTCATTTACACATCGAATCTCTGTGTACACAGCTAGTTTGACTTTACACTTGACGCACAAATAGGCAAAAGCAACAATGGAAATTAAGAAATCCTTTAATCTAGGTTAAGTAAATAGTTTCGGAGGGTTGAAAGGACTAAACAATACCTTTAGGCGTTCGCGTTCATTTGATTTTTTTTCAACAGTTAAAAAAAATCTTCATTTACTAGGGCTCCGTCCACATAGTATCCAGATATTTTGAAAACAGAGATGTTTTTCTCCACTTTAGCCTTCCATCCCTCCAGCGAACGACTGTTTTTGAAAACGGTCCTCAGAATAATTTTTTTTTCTAAATAGCCCATGATTGCGTTTTCCTTCACTGAATGTGCGGGAAGAAGAGATTGGACTACGTTACGCTTTATGAGTATTTCTCGAAGACGGAGAAAAAAAAAACTCCGTTATAATTTTCAAAAGTGTCCTAAGGGACCTAAATCTCCACGCTCTTACTTTTTTGACATTTCGGACATATATTTGTGGCCAAGTTGTTCATTATCGTTATGAGAAATCTTGAGGCTTTATCTGAAAGGTTTTTACTTGGATATATATCGCTACTGAGAAATAGATAAAATATATTGAAGTTTGCATGAGCTGGGTGCTTATCCTTCTCATTCTTCAGAGTGAGTTTCACTAACAAAAATTGCCAGAAAAGGCAGCATTATAGTATTCTTATGGATATCAAGAAGAAAAGAGATAAAGAGCTAATAATAATAATAATAATAATAATAATAATAATAATAATAATAATAATAATAATAATAATGATAATAATAACAATAAACAATAATGATTTACTTATTACGACACAATAAATGTATTACAAACCCTGACTTTATCTCTCACTGCCATCTGTGGTTTTGCAAACGGACTAGAAGATCAACCAATAAGAATAGAGAAAGCAATCAGTACCCATATCTGAGCCGACAGCGCTTCCGATTAGCTGAAATTTGCTTCATCCAATTAGAAGCACTACCCACATCTGAATAGTGACGCGTCATCAGTATAGAATTTCTGCGCTCGTTTCTCAGGCGTCATTTCGCTTATACCCGCAGATCACATAATCTTTAAGATTCAAATTCTAACTCGTTGTCGCTATATACTTACTCTAGAGGCGGTGCGAGAAGTTTTTTAGGAATCAATTAAAGTCAACTTGAATTTCTTATTACCACGACTCTTTTTATAAGATTCAGTTTGGAGAAATTTAATACGGGTCACTTAAATATATCGACTCCTTGCCTTCGTCCAACGCCCACCGTCAACCAGATATTAAAATTTACGAGCCTTGACACCTTGATCCTCGAGTTATGTACATATGGTATACTAGTGAATTGCTTGTTACATATCACCCCCCTGCCAAATCGAATCTAACCAGCTTTATGTTTTAGCATGATTGTCATTCCCTTGTCAAAATTGACTTGAATCACGAGATGAACATGTTCACTGACCTGGACCTTTCCTTATCGACACATATCTTAACTGACCAATAAATTACAGTTTCGCAATTACTTAATTGATTAATCCCTTGTAGAGACCTGAAAGCAAGAAATTCTAAGAAGTTTCAAGTCACTAAGAAACAATACAAATAAACAACGTAAAGGAAGACGAACAAATATTGACCTTGAATACTTTAAGCGGATTAAAATTTTAATTAAATCTTAAATACCGCCCACTTGGATCATTTGACAACTCCGTCGTCTTTAATCCGATACCACGGCTGTTTGTCACTCAAGAAAAATTTTCAGCAGTTTTCACTGAGTTGTCTTGCGTTGAAAGGTGAGGTTGTAATCAAGATCATGGAGATGGAGATGCTTACAATCCACAGGCCAAGAAAACGGCGTGAAATTGTGTGCGTCGTTTTGCTGGTACTGATGTTTGCAGTTGCAGGATTTTTGATTGGATATTTCGCGGTGAAGAATGTTACTGAAGACGGGGTGAAGTGTCAATCCAATGACGGCGACAAGCCTAAACCGACATTTCCTACATCCAATAAGGAAAAATACCACAAGATGTTTCAAGATGAGATAAAGGCGAAGAATATCGAGGACAACCTCAAGTAAGAAACATTTCAATATTATTTGGTGAAGGCNCGTGAAATTGTGTGCGTCGTTTTGCTGGTACTGATGTTTGCAGTTGCAGGATTTTTGATTGGATATTTCGCGGTGAAGAATGTTACTGAAGACGGGGTGAAGTGTCAATCCAATGACGGCGACAAGCCTAAACCGACATTTCCTACATCCAATAAGGAAAAATACCACAAGATGTTTCAAGATGAGATAAAGGCGAAGAATATCGAGGACAACCTCAAGTAAGAAACATTTCAATATTATTTGGTGAAGGCAAGGTATTTGCCACTAGGTTTCTTATCTGTCTCAGTGTAACCAAAACTTCGTAAACTTCCACCTGAAGGAAAGACATAATTATATTGTACAGGTGAATTCGTGCATCGTGTATAGCTGCTTTTGTCATACAAGATACTCATTCACGACGAAGACTGAGCCTAAAGTCAGAGTTTAACGATAAGAGTCAGAGTTTAACAGATATGCTTTTCTAGTTTCTTGGAACTTAATTTTCGCAGCTCTCTCCCTTACACTTGGAGGTCAGGCTATCTTAATAGCACGCAAATTATGTCAATTAATGTTGGCGGGTACTCTTTGGCAGTCTAAACTCAAAACTTTTATGTGATAGAATGAAAATACAATTGTTTACATTTCTTGTCGTTTTGAGTGGATCAGGGATTAATTTATTGAACACATATCCTTAATGCAAATGAAATTGTGCATGAGATTGTATTCTGTAAAGTAGCTCTAACACTTGTTCAACAATTTTTTCCCTTAAAAAACTCGCAAACAAATAGATGAGCCTCTCAAAAATGGATTACACTGCACATGTCAATAATTTGGCTTTTTTGGAGGTTTTAAATGTTGTTTGGGCTATGGCAACATGTACTTAGAACTGCACAGAAGAAATTTTATTTATTTCCAAAATGTTTCTTTTCTTATATTTTTTTCTAGATAAAAAGTAACAACAAATAAACAAAAAACAAACAAATAAGGCAAAGCAAGGAACTTACTGCAAACTAATATAGAAAAAAAAAATAGGTCGTTATCACGCAAATATTGTTATCGGAAATATTTTAGAGCCCGGTCAAAATACATTTCGCCGCATTACAACTGCAACCATAAGAAAATTGACACCGAGACGAGACCGGCCAGTTCTTGGCGAGGTAACCACGACATGCAGCCTTAGCCCAATTCAATACGGGCAAGTAACAGTTCCCTGCCAACATAAAATATTTATAGCCCTTGAAGCTTGTTTGCTTTAAAGTGACACCAAAAATAGCTGAAATCGTGCTTTTGTGATCACCCACACGTTAAAGATATTTATTGAAAATAGAATCCACGCTGGAGTCACTTAAAAGTACAAGTTTTTTAATTTGGTTTTAGCCGTCATTATTCCGACATACAAACGTTCATCACACCCTGTAATCTTTGTCCAGAGTCTGTTAGGAAAGAGCTAAAGACTTATGTGACTGTTTTTACGGAAGAAACGCACGTTAACACCTTTCACACGAGCTATTGACCTTCCAGCTTCGCACAGAGCAGAGTGTTTGAATATCAAATAGAATTAGGTTCCTGTTAAAAGTCGGACTTGACATGTGCATGCAAATGATTTTAATCAATAAAATTAAATTCGGCTCATTTGAAGTTGGACATTTAACGGTCCTTAACTATCGAGTCTACTGTCTTTTCCTTCACCTTTTTTTTCTTTTGTCGTTACAGATTTTATACCTCGCAGCCTCATATTGCTGGATCTAAACGCCAACATGATCTTGCATTACATTTAGCTGACAAATGGCGCACCTATGGATTTGATAAGGTAGAAATGCCTGAGTATAAAGTGTTACTTTCTCTTCCTCAAGAAGACAAACCTAACAAAGTGGAACTTATCAGCAATGGTACTACTCACTTTGCGATACTGGGAAAAATAAAGGTACGTTGGGTTTCATGCTATAACGTACAATGTAACTATAATATTCTTTTTCAGTCCACAGCGACATGCAAAAACAAAAAGCAGTTGGTTTAATTGTTTTTGTCTTGGTTTGTTTGTTCCTTTTGTTATTATAAAAGACGCATTTAAATTCTTGGATCATTTTTTCTAAAATCGTTGCTGCCGACAGGCCTAATTCAAAACACCATAATTATACTCTTTGCTTTCCCTTTAAAATCGTGCAAAAGCACTGTTTTCAATTTTCCTTGGGACTTACAGTCATCTCGAGAATATGACCTATTTCAGGTGTTTGAGATGTATTCCTTGTACTGTAACCACATTGAGGTTCCTCTTACTGTCACGTGACTTCGGCTGAACTATCACGAGACGAGTGTAAATATTTCTTAGACTCAATTAGGTTGATATCGGGGTGAAATCAGAATAACTTACATGAAACCTTTGATTACTGCTGTTTATATATTTTCGCCGCGACAAGTTCTACCAGAAAGGGTCGCTTTAAGATTTGTGGAAATTGAGAGCCGTTATGGTTCGTAGTTTCACGGGTCTCTCCAGCTTCTGAGCTGACGCTTCCAGGCAATTGAAATTGAACAAGGTCCATAATGAATTAGCATACTTTCCGGGAATACTTAGACTACCCTCGCTCCTCTCTCCTTTCATGAGTCAATTGTCTAGCTCCTTCCTATTTGACCGACATGCATACCTATGACTGGCATTGCAAAATAACATACTGACCGAGTAGTGTCATAATGGGAACTTGAAAGAGCTCCTGGCCATAAAATCATAGTATTGTAGTTTATGATCATCATATCAGCTCATGTAGTTACTTTTAATGGTGCAACCTCAACCAATTCATAAAAAACGTGTTATGATAATAATGAATATCTTACGCTATCTTTTTCTTTACTCAGGTTAAACCAGAGCCTTCTGCAAACGAAACTTATGACTATTTTCCGTATTTCGGATATGCACCAAATGGGACTGTTGAGGGCGAACTTCTTTACATCAATCAAGGTTCACTGAAGGACATCAGTTTCCTGCGGAGTCATAATATATCTGTAAAGGATAAAATAGTGATTATCAGGGGACAGTTCGCATCGGTAGGTAAATTTCAATAACACACTCTGGTGGAGCGCTTCATGTCGCACATTAAAGTTCCCTATTGTAGTGCCCCTGAAAGTAGGATCTCACCAAGAGTTGCGATCAAATTTCACAATCCTTTAGTAAATTCCCTGACCAATGACCCTATGAAAGTAACTACTCGGCTTCGAAAGTAGCGCCCTCAACAGTTATTTCCTCAGTTACCAAAAAATCGCGAACTTTACGTATACAAAAAATATCTGAGGCTTGTTTTCGGTGTGAAATCTAATTACAAGTTTTAATTAGCATTAAGGATCGAACTTGTTATAGCAAAATTCTTTTTAACGGGATATTGATTGAATTCGTTGAGGTTAGGGGATAGAGAAAACTTGCAGATCGCGGGCTGGGAAAAATTCATATTAGCGTTCTTGAGGACAGATCAAAATCAGTCTGCCAGCAGACANGGTGCAACCTCAACCAATTCATAAAAAACGTGTTATGATAATAATGAATATCTTACGCTATCTTTTTCTTTACTCAGGTTAAACCAGAGCCTTCTGCAAACGAAACTTATGACTATTTTCCGTATTTCGGATATGCACCAAATGGGACTGTTGAGGGCGAACTTCTTTACATCAATCAAGGTTCACTGAAGGACATCAGTTTCCTGCGGAGTCATAATATATCTGTAAAGGATAAAATAGTGATTATCAGGGGACAGTTCGCATCGGTAGGTAAATTTCAATAACACACTCTGGTGGAGCGCTTCATGTCGCACATTAAAGTTCCCTATTGTAGTGCCCCTGAAAGTAGGATCTCACCAAGAGTTGCGATCAAATTTCACAATCCTTTAGTAAATTCCCTGACCAATGACCCTATGAAAGTAACTACTCGGCTTCGAAAGTAGCGCCCTCAACAGTTATTTCCTCAGTTACCAAAAAATCGCGAACTTTACGTATACAAAAAATATCTGAGGCTTGTTTTCGGTGTGAAATCTAATTACAAGTTTTAATTAGCATTAAGGATCGAACTTGTTATAGCAAAATTCTTTTTAACGGGATATTGATTGAATTCGTTGAGGTTAGGGGATAGAGAAAACTTGCAGATCGCGGGCTGGGAAAAATTCATATTAGCGTTCTTGAGGACAGATCAAAATCAGTCTGCCAGCAGACATCTCCCACCAAATTTGAGATAACAAACCCTTAACCGCAACAACAACAACAAACAAACAAATTTGAGTTGTTAACCATTACTTACTCGTTTAGAATAATTCCAATCAATAACTAACAAGCAACTAAGCTTTCGATTGCCTCTCCGCAAGTGTCTGACTTAGGATGGTCACGTGATCTCAAGGCCATGTTGTCTTCTGTCATCGTGGAATGTGGAAAGTAAATCGTAGCTCCCATATATATTTACGGTCATATGCAAGCCTCTAATATAAGTAGCCTGTTTGCTGTTTGTTCGTTTGTTTTACCATTTAACTCCGCATTTCCGGGTAGATTATCTTGGACTACTCTCAAACTTTCTCCCATGGTTAGTCTTGGACTAGTGTTGCAGCTTAACCACAAAATAAATCTGTAGGAGACACAGTACATGATGCTTTTCATGTCAATCTACCAATTAGAATTACAGTATGAATATTAACTTGAAAATTTCGAATAAATCTTTTCAATCAGTACTTGACCGGGCAAACCCTTGTTTCTTGATCACCAGATAAGTGTCGCTGCAGCGTCTGGTGCTATTGGAGCCCTTATCTTCATAGAGCCCAAATCCGGAGACAATCCAAATGAAAGGTACCCTTACACACCCTGGACGTCAAGCGAAGCCATAATGGAAAGGCCGATGGGGGAAAATTTCGGTGATCCACTGACACCTGGGTTACCAGCCATCGACGACATGTACCGTGGGCCTAAGAACCTTACAAACTTTGCCTCAATACCTACACAGCCGATTTCATACAATGATGCAATGCATTTGCTGAAACATCTTAAAGGTTAATACATTATATTGAGAAAGATGTTTATTCAGTCAGTGACACAGGCGGCTCGGATGAAAACTGAGTACTCCTCCCAATCGGAAGTCGAACCTATGACCTCTAGGTACTAGTCTCGATGCTCTACCACTAACCTACAGAACAGTCGTGAGAACTAAGACCGCTTAAACATGATCCTGCATACTGCTAGGACTGGAATGTTGATATGTGCTTATACGCAAAGATAGAAATGTGATGGTGAATGTTAAGCCTGGTGAATACACGACAAGGATCCTTATTCGGCCAGTGCCCCTAAAAGGAGTTGAACCCATGGTATTCTGTTTACTAGTCTAGATGCTCTAAGACTAAGTTAAAGATATATTAATTTTTCATCACAAGAAGTGTTTTAACAGTTCTTCTTCCATGGTCACTTGGATTGAGATATTTGTAATAATATTAGCTGCGGTTACACCTTGGATCTCAGCCATGGGGTAGCAACTTTACTTGTCGTGTGATGATGATCTTCTCCAGCTGAAATTGCCTATGAAATGTTTCCAGGGAAACCTAAAAAAGATGACAGCTGCAGCGGTAAATCCAAGGGGTTTACAAGAACCTAACATTCATTACGTTCTTGCCATAGTTATTCACGCACCTTGGTTTTTTCCTGTTAGGTATGCAAGCGCCAAGAGATTGGCAAGGAGTGAAAAACGCTTCCTTCAACGTTGGACCAGGCTTCAACATATCGAACTCAACTATTCGATTGGAAATCAATAACAAGATCGTCATGAAATCCATATATAACGTCATCGGAACTATTTACGGCCAAGAGGAACCGGACAGATATGTTTTGATTGGCAGTCATCGGGACGCCTGGTTTTTTGGAGCAGCAGATCCTTCAAGTGGTACAGCAGCTCTGACAGAAATATCAAGGGCAGTTGGCAAGATGTTGAAAGGTGGGTGGCGACCGCGAAGGACAGTTAAGTTCTGTAGTTGGGGAGCGGAGGAGTTTGGATTGGTTGGGTCAATAGAGTGGGTGGAGGAAAATGCGAAAATCCTTCAAGAAAGAGCCGTTGTTTACTTGAATACAGACGTGGCAGTTGGTGGTCGTTACGTTCTCGTAACTCAGAATTGTCCACTTCTATCACACGTCATCTTCTCTTGGGCCAAAAAAGTTAAAGATCCAAACGCACATGGCAATAAAACCAGCCTGTACGACATTATGGTTGAGCGAAACCCATCTAAAAATAATCCTGGAGAGCCTTATGTTGTTCCATACCAGTATATGAGCGACTATTTTCCGTTCTATATGTACTATGGCATACCATCGGCTGACTTTAGCTACTTCTTCGGTTCTGGGAATCCTGTGTCGCTCTATCCTGTCTACCACACTCAAGAAGACAACTTCTACTGGATGAAAACCTTTATCGATCCCAAGTTTGAGTTTCACGAGGCAGTAACCAAGTTTGAAGGAGGTTTATTGATCGATTTGGCGGATTCTTCTTTGTTGTCATTTGATGTAGTGCGTTACGCAAATGAGATGGTTAACAGTTTGAAATCACTTCCCGATCGCGTGGGGAACCAAAGCGTTTCTACTAAAATTATTCATAGGGCTGTATTAAATTTTATAAATGCCAGCAAGTCATTTGAGAAAGCAAAGTCCAAATTAAATCTGGCTTCAACGAGTCCATTAGTTTTACGCCGGTTCAATGATCAAATGGTGCAAGTAGAGAAAGCATTTATTGGCAAGTCAGGGCACGTCCTTCCGTGGTCAAAATTCTCTTTCCGGGCAATAAGAAGGGCGTTCTTGTCAGGAAAAGTAAATGAAGTCGAAAAGCAGTTGTCATCGGCAGCCCAAATAATATTTTCTGCCGCAAAAGTCTTGGAACCATTGCCAGTTGCTTGAGGTGCTAATACATAGTTGCCTCCCAAAAAATTACTTACGTTTCTAGTCCGTGTAAGCATGAGCAATCATTTTTTAAAAAGTTCCAAAGAAGCCAATATTTATTTAACGCTGTACTGAATAAACCAGTAAACAAATTAGATTCTCTCGCGTGCGAACAATAAATAATTGCCTAAGTAATGATTTTTTACGTCTGAAAATACGTGCGGGATCATATCATTCACGTCTGCTGCTAGAGAGTTATTATAGTAATTAAGAAAATAGCGTCAGGGAATAAAATTGGAAGAAGCTAGTTGACAAAATATTCGGAGATTGTTTCATTGAGTGGAATGACAATGAGATGAGGGGACAAATTTGGGCAGTTTGATGATTTTATTTGAAGTAAATGATGTGAGGCACCTAATCCTATCATTAAATGTTGCATAATTTTACCGCAAACGTTCGAAAAGGGAACAGTTTCTTAGAATCCTCTTGATCAAATTGTATCATATCCTTAACATAAGAACTGTATAAGGGCTGAAGCCCAACAGTTTCACATGTAACTACATATTGTAAACTGTGCGTTTCATGCAGATGCAGAAGTTCAGGGGATGATCTATGGGGGAGGGTGCAGGGGGTGCACATTCCCCTGCCATGAGTTGACATGCAACTTTCTAATACAACTTTTCTGCCAAACAACCTATGTGGTTTATTGGTGTTAAAGTAAAACCCATGAGACGAGGTTGAAGAATTTATGTTGCACGACGTTAAAAACGGTAGTTAGGCACGTCACGTCATCAGTCACTTACGCTACTTTCTTAGAGGTGCCACCCCTCCTAAGAAGAGAAATCCTGGATCCACCACTGCAGTAGAACATTTCTTCACGTTCGACTTTCGACGAGCAAGGTTATACTAAGACTTTAATTTAAATTCCGATACTTTTCTTTCAAGAAACGTTTGGTGAGTTGAAATTCATTCTACTGTCATAAGATGAGTAAATATTTGCTAAGAACTGCATCTATTTCTAGTATGTTCATTTTCATACATAACCATACATGTACTTGTTAACACCAATAAAAATATAACGAATAATAATAAAAATAGGAATCAAGGATAACTTTGAACAGGTCATGTGTTCATTATGCTTATAATTAGTTTCAGAATGGGCCAAAATTTTATGGCTAATTAATTAACGAATTCAGCCACGTTTGACTCAACAAGTTTAACATCAAAAGGAAAATTGCACTCTAGATGAAATAACCAAAATGAGACTGTGATTCTTACAGAGATCAGGAAACTAGGCCTCGTCTTTTAACTCCTCTATATTTTGTTAAATAACCGTTAGGCTAATTTTGAACACTTCCAAGTCTACAGTTATTGACCGTTAGTTTCAGATGTACACTTGTAAACAGCGTAAACCAAACGTCCAAGAGAGCAATATTCTAAACATGGTAAGAAACGTAACTATGATATACCAAAGTTTACCCTATTAAGTGGGTATGCATACCTCAAATTCCCTTACTTTTAAATTAAGACAATTAATAGTACAAATGTGGATATGTTGGATGACATACGGGGCACTAGTAGTAGTGCATGGTAGTTCTATATTGTCATTAGGAACAGTAGCTTTCAAAAGCTAGACACACTATATGCCATGAGTGTTTTACTTAAGTATCCAACCCTGTAAGCTGCTCCTGAGTTCTGATAACCTCTCGATGGTCTCGCGTCTTGCACCTCTAACCTTCCTTTTCTTTACTGATAAAAAACTAAAATAAATAAAAATAGACTGGTGGAGCAGCGTTTGATCTTCATCATATATTGCAACCGGAAGGGGGGGGGGGGGTACTCGTAGTCCCTATGATGGCCTATACCGGGAGGCTCCAGCCGCTAGGGGTAACTTTTACAGGCTTCAGGTATATGAAAGGATGGGAATTTCACTCCTTGAAGTATATATAAGGGTAAGGAAACCTGTCATTTGGGTCTGTGAAAGGGCCCAAAGGGCCGAACAGATGAACGGCTTCATAAAGTCGAGAAAACGTTCTATTTTTGTGATTGATTTCTATTTAAAAGACAGTGCATTTACAGCAGTTAAAAGGGATGCAACATGTCTAAACAAGGTATCTCAAGGGAGAACCATTTCTCAATAGAAGGCATACAAAAAGGGTACCTTTTTCGTGAAAAAGGTAAGGGGTTGGAAAACGGGACAGAGCTTCCCCGTACCTCCCCCCCCTCCCGGGGGATTGCAACTCAGAGTTTCATGCTTCTTACGAAGCATGTAGCTAGATCAGTCTACTTGTATTCTGCTCTCGTTCAATTTTTGAGCACAATTGGTATTTGCCCCATGTAAGCGAATGCAAGACAGTCCTGGATTTTAGGATTCCACGCCTTGGATTTCGGATTCCAGGCAGTTGATTCGAGTCTTTTTTGGTGGATTCTGGATTCCAATCCTTAGTAGGATTCCGGATTCGTTGAGCTTTATTCTGGATTCCAAAGCCCAGGATTCCGGATTCCACAAGGAAAAATTTCACGGACTCCGGAATCCGGATTCCTCTACACTGGGTGATCTTATAATCAATGGTGACAACACTCTGGTACTTTGTTATATGAAATAAAATACATTTTTTGACTTGCAGTTGTTTTTTAGGGAACGGTTTATTTTGAGGTCCGGTTGCAGGGACTGTGTGTATGTTTTTATAATTATGTCAACTTACATCTTTGCTTTGTTTGGTGAGAAATATTGGAGGACACTTCGTGGTTGACCTGTATCAGGGCCACCTGACGACTGTTTTGTGAAATATCTGTTGGAATGTACAAATTTTCGAAGTTCATCTGATAAATTCCCTATACAATTTCTGAGGTTCAATTTTTCTCATTTCACTCCTCAGGTAAAGCTATATTTCGAAAAAAAAAAGGGAACAAAATTTTTGATGGAGAGAGGAATCGGAAAAATTCTAACTTTCGTAAAGCTTTAAATTTCATCTAAAACTTTCGGGATAAAAAAAGTGAAGTCATTGTCATTTTAAAAATACTCAAGTTGCCCTAAGATGACCGAACAGATACATACTTAAAAATGCCGCTTAGAGTGTTTTTCATGATCTGTGATAAAGTACTCTGGATAGCCTAAAAAATGTTTCAATGCATGTATCAAGAGAGGATAAAGGGGACAGAGAAGGCATCCCCCATACACACCCTATTCCATAGGTAATTTGTCTCGAGTTATTTTTAGAATCGGGATAAAGTTACCTCGCGCGCTGCGTGGATGTTTCGTGGAGGTTTCGCATGACTATAAACGCCGTGCAAAACATGTCGGGCGAAAGGCAGTGAACGCGTAAAGAGATCGAGAGCATTTCTTTATTGAAGCGAAATGAGTAGGCGCTCACCTGGGAAAAGGGAATCGCTGGATTCTTTGACAACCCGTGAAATCAGTGTAACTCGAAGTTGTCGTAACCTCAGTGCTTTAATAAAATGAGAAATTTCGCCGGTCTATTGAAACCGGTCGTCTGTACAATAAAGCAAGTAGGACGCCAAGTGTTATTTTTGTTGAATAATAAAAGACTAATAAAAGAATAAATATCAAACCAGAAATTGCTCTCTTCAAACTGTAAATTATAAATGGTCCTGAGAGAATATTCAGTGTGTTAAGGATTTCCCTGCTGTACTGTTAGCTCTATACAAGAGAGGAAGGGCGATTCTTTTTTAATTTCCATTTCGCTGACACGGCTTTAGCAGAAATCTCTCTTTAGTCGTTTTCGTCGACAAAACGAATAGCAATATCGATCTCCGCGTCTTCCGCCGTCTTTTTTCAGCGTCAATTCGTGAAGGACGCGTGGCTCTGAGCGTGGGTCATCCACGCGGAACACATTCGCGCTATGTGATTGGCTGTTGTCTAATCCCAATTCACTTTGGCGGTAGCTTTGCATCATTATTAAAGGTAACAATAGAAAGCCACAGCACTGAAGCTTGCAGCAAGAGTAGCAAGCGAGTGTAGAAGAGCATCAATCACCAAAAAGCATGGTTTGCCAGCATTTTTCTTGTTTACATGCTTAGCGACCATTCAGTAATCTTGAGAAAGTGCACCCCGGGATGGCGGGGTTGTAAGATTGCATGTAAAGGAGGGTAATTTTTTTACCCCACCTAAGGGGGTTACCTCACCTATCTGGGGTCCCTCACCTTCATGTAAAAAGGCCCTAGCCTACTGTCATCTAGTCTGGCACTTTTGCAATGCTTCGGATCGGAGAAAGCTAGAGCGGGTTCAGGAGCGAGCGCTAAGGGCGGTGTACAAAACCAGATCAGCGTCCTATCAAGAACTGCTAGACCGCGCCAAACTAACGACGTTGCACAATCGGCGTCTACAAGACATGGCCACTTTAATGTTTCAAGTTAAGCACAGTCTCGTACCCCTGAATATTTCGGACTTGTTTTATTTAAAGAACACTCAAAAAAACTTACGGAATAGTGACTTCGAACTGCCAAGATTCGAATATTGTTAGATTTGTTAGTAATTCAATCAAATATATGGGACCTCTCATTTGGTCGAAGTTGCCAAGACACTTGAGAATGATGGAAAATCTATAACCCGTTTGAGAGGAACATTAGGAAAGTTGACCTTTCAACTCTTGTAAACATTTAGACGTGTTTTTAGGCTTTTAAACAAATTTTGTAAATAATTATATAATCTACAGGCAATTTTTAATTTCTATTTTTTAGTGATTTGTATCTGGTAGTTGACGTCTTATTTTACAGTGTCCCCCATTAGCTTATAGCTAAAAACATAGACACTTAAAATAAAGTTTAAAAAATTAATAAATGAATACAACAAAAGAATTCCCAAAAGTATAATTACACGACCTAAGTAGGAAAAACACTGCTAAAGAAGTCTATTGTGACGATCATTTCTTCATTTGAATTTATTTGTATTGCTTGAATATAATATTACGTGACAAGAGATTTGATGTGATTAACGAATTGCATGACACGAAAGGTTCAGATTTCTTGTCCAAACTGACTTTCCTCGTTTTCCTTCAAAATTTTAAGACTATATAAATATCATTTTAAATTTTATTTGTGTTGTTTAGTTCCGAAAGAGACAACACTGTTGAACTTTTCGTTCTTTTCTTAGGCTGTTCACAGGAATTACGTAGCGAGCGACTAGGAATTTTAATGTTTCACTTGCACAATACATAATTACACGTGCGAATTATTTTGAATAACATGTATGAAGTGAAGTGTTGAATCAGCGTATGCACTGTCGTATCGATGGCTTCTCTTTTAACAGCTGTTTTTAAAGCGACTGTTGGTTTACTTGTGGAAAAAGGCCGCGATGCTGCTGCCGAAAAGCTAAAGCATGGAGATATTACTGATCAAAAACTGCGAGACGTGATTGTTCGAGAAATCCATGATGTCAAATCGAAGCTGGATGGCCTGGCAAGGAAAGATCTCCTGGCAGCAATCGACTTCTTTGAAGAAGGAATTACTTTATTGTATGATCTGCCTCAATTGAAATACTTACCAGGGTACGATGCTGAAGATAATGTGGTTTCTCTACCTCGGGCAATGTCCAACTTGAAACTGACCCAAAGCATGGATGAAGCCTCAACATCAACTCTTTCTAGAGCCAAGAAAAGGTTCGAAGATTCTCGTAGGAAAGCAACAGAAGCGTTTAATGACGAAGCATTAAAACCTTCCGACCGCATCGTGGCAATGGGATACCGAGTTATGGCGACAGTGCTGGAAACAGTAGACAATCCTAAAGCCGCTTTATCAGCTTGCAGATTGTGCATTGAAAGATTGCACTCACTACCAGCGGTTCAAAATTGTTTTTCCGTCGAACTTAAGAAGGGTCTTCGTGGCTGGTTCAGCAAAGATGAACGCAGAGAAATCA